GAGTGATGTTTGTACTGTGTACCCTGTTCCTGTTCCATGGGGGTGAGTGATGTTTGTACTGTGTACCCTGTTCCATGGGGGTGAGTGATGTTTGTACTGTGTACCCTGTTCCTGTTCCATGGGGGTGAGTGATGTTTGTACTGTGTACCCTGTTCCATGGGTGTGAGTGATGTTTGTACTGTGTACCCTGTTCCATGGGGGTGAGTGATGTTTGTACTGTGTACCCTGTTCCTGTTCCATGGGGGTGAGTGATGTTTGTAATGTGTACCCTGTTCCTGTTCCATGGCGGTGAGTGATGTTTGTACTGTGTACCCTGTTCCATGGGGATGAGTGATGTTTGTACTGTGTACCCTGTTCCTGTTCCATGGGGGTGAGTGATGTTTGTACTGTGTACCCTGTTCCTGTTCAATGAGGGTGAGTGATGTTTGTACTGTGTACCCTGTTCCATGGGGGTGAGTGATGTTTGTACTGTGTACCCTGTTCCATGGGGGTGAGTGATGTTTGTACTGTGTACCCTGTTCCTGTTCCATGGGGGTGAGTGATGTTTGTACTGTGTACCCTGTTCCATGGGGGTGAGTGATGTTTGTACTGTGTACCCTGTTCCTGTTCCATGGGGGTGAGTGATGTTTGTACTGTGTACCCTGTTCCATGGGTGTGAGTGATGTTTGTACTGTGTACCCTGTTCCATGGGGGTGAGTGATGTTTGTACTGTGTACCCTGTTCCTGTTCCATGGGGGTGAGTGATGTTTGTAATGTGTACCCTGTTCCTGTTCCATGGCGGTGAGTGATGTTTGTACTGTGTACCCTGTTCCATGGGGATGAGTGATGTTTGTACTGTGTACCCTGTTCCTGTTCCATGGGGGTGAGTGATGTTTGTACTGTGTACCCTGTTCCTGTTCCATGGGGGTGAGTGATGTTTGTACTGTGTACCCTGTTCCATGGGGGTGAGTGATGTTTGTACTGTGTACCCTGTTCCTGTTCCATGGGGGTGAGTGATGTTTGTACTGTGTACCCTGTTCCTGTTCCATGGGGGTGAGTGATGTTTGTACTGTGTACCCTGTTCCATGGGGGTGAGTGATGTTTGTACTGTGTACCCTGTTCCATGGGGGTGAGTGATGTTTGTACTGTGTACCCTGTTCCATGGGGGTGAGTGATGTTTGTACTGTGTACCCTGTTCCATGGGTGTGAGTGATGTTTGTACTGTGTACCCTGTTCCATGGGTGTGAGTGATGTTTGTACTGTGTACCCTGTTCCATGGGTGTGAGTGATGTTTGTACTGTGTACCCTGTTCCATGGGGGTGAGTGATGTTTGTACTGTGTACCCTGTTCCTGTTCCATGGGGGTGAGTGATGTTTGTACTGTGTACCCTGTTCCATGGGGGTGAGTGATGTTTGTACTGTGTACCCTGTTCCTGTTCCATGGGGGTGAGTGATGTTTGTACTGTGTACCCTGTTACATGGGGGTGAGTGATGTTTGTACTGTGTACCCTGTTCCATGGGGGTGAGTGATGTTTGTACTGTGTACCCTGTTCCATGAGGGTGAGTGATGTTTGTACTGTGTACCCTGTTCCATGGGGGTGAGTGATGTTTGTACTGTGTACCCTGTTCCATGGGGGTGAGTGATATTTGTACTGTGTACCCTGTTCCATGGGGGTGAGTGATGTTTGTACTGTGTACCCTGTTCCATGGGTGTGAGTGATGTTTGTACTGTGTACCCTGTTCCATGGGGGTGAGTGATGTTTGTACTGTGTACCCTGTTCCATGGGTGTGAGTGATGTTTGTACTGTGTACCCTGTTACATCGCGGTGAGTGATGTTTGTACTGTGTACCCTGTTCCTGTTCCATGGGTGTGAGTGATGTTTGTACTGTGTACCCTGTTCCATGGGGGTGAGTGATGTTTGTACTGTGTACCCTGTTCCTGTTCCATGGGGGTGAGTGATGTTTGTACTGTGTACCCTGTTCCATGGGGGTGAGTGATGTTTGTACTGTGTACCCTGTTCCATGAAGGTGAGTGAATTTTGTACTGTGTACCCTGTTCCTGTTCCATGGGGGTGAGTGATGTTTGTACTGTGTACCCTGTTCCATGGGGGTGAGTGATGTTTGTACTGTGTACCCTGTTCCTGTTCCATGGAGGTGAGTGATGTTTGTACTGTGTACCCTGTTCCATGGGGGTGAGTGATGTTTGTACTGTGTACCCTGTTCCTGTTCCATGGGGGTGAGTGATGTTTGTACTGTGTAACCTGTTCCATGAGGGTGAGTGATGTTTGTACTGTGTACCCTGTTCCATGGGTGTGAGTGATGTTTGTACTGTTTACCATGTTCCATGGGGGTGAGTGATGTTTGTACTGTGTACTCTGTCCCTGTTCCATGAGGATGAGTGATGTTTGTACTGTGTACCCTGTTCCATGGGGGTGAGTGATGTTTGTACTTTGTACCCTGTTCACCCCTGTGCTGAGAGGTGTGCCAGTCACGTCATCACATGCCGGCGTGTACCTGTTTGTGTACGTGTTTATAAGGTGTCTGAGAACGTGTGGGTTTGTGTCAGTCCAGTCCAATTCTTCTTTAAGATTAGCATAGGTTGTTGGTTAGTTCTGTGTACTTTTCTATAGACACAGTATCGTAGTTCTGTGTACCAGTTTGTTAGTATTTAGATAAGCCTGTGTTTGTGTGGATCGGATTAAACTCTTTTAGTGTTCAGCGAGCCTTTGTTTTATTTAGTCTGGTGTAACCGTGTGTCCACGGCATACCACATATAATGTGGAGGGCCTTATCTGTACCGAGACAACATACAACATAAAGGGCTCAGCCTAAACAACATACAACATAAAGGAAACAATGGACCGACACAATGGGCGCTACGTGTCTGATACTATTGGTACTAAGTACCTGACACAATGTTACTAAGTACCTGACACTACGGCACTAAGTACCTGACACTACGGCACTAAGTACCTGACACTATAGATACTAAGTACCTGCCACTACGACACTAAGTACCTGACACTATGGCACCAAGTACCTGACACTTTTGGTACTAAGTACCTGACACTACGGCACTAAGTACCTGACACTATGGCACCAAGTACCTGACACTTTTGGTACTAAGTACCTGACACTACGGCACTAAGTACCTGACACTATGGCACTAAGTACCTGACACAATGGCACTAAGTACCTGACACAATGGCACTAAGTACCTGACACAATGGCACTAAGTACCTGACACAATGGCACTAAGTACCTGACACTATGGCACTAAGTACCTGACACAATGGCACTAAGTACCTGACACAATGGCACTAAGTACCTGACACAATGGCACTAAGTACCTGACACAATGGCACTAAGTAACTGACACTAAGGTACTAAGTACCTGACACAATGGCACTAAGTACCTGACACAATGGCACTAAGTACCTGACACTATGGCACTAAGTACCTGACACAATGGCACTAAGTACCTGACACAATGGCACTAAGTACCTGACACTATGGCACTAAGTACCTGACACAATGGCACTGAGTACCTGACACAATGGCACTAAGTACCTGACACAATGGCACTAAGTACCTGACACAATGGCACTAAGTACCTGACACAATGGCACTAAGTACCTGACACAATGGCACTAAGTACCTGACACAATGGCACTAAGTACCTGACACAATGGCACTAAGTACCTGACACAATGGCACTAAGTACCTGACACAATGGCACTAAGTACCTGACACTATGGCACTAAGTACCTGAAACTATGGCACTAAGTACCTGACACAATGGCACTAAGTACCTGACACAATGGCACTAAGTACCTGACATAATGGCACTAAGTACTTGACACAATGGCACTAAGTACCTGACACAATGGCACTAAGTACCTGACACAATGGCACTAAGTACCTGACACAATGGCACTAAGTACCTGACACTATGGCACTAAGTACCTGAAACTATGGCACTAAGTACCTGACACAATGGCACTAAGTACCTGACACAATGGCACTAAGTACCTGACATAATGGCACTAAGTACTTGACACAATGGCACTAAGTACCTGACACAATGGCACTAAGTACCTGACACAATGGCACTAAGTACCTGACACAATGGCACTAAGTACCTGACACTATGGTACTAAGTACCTGAAACTATGGCACTAAGTACCTGACACAATGGCACTAAGTACCTGACACAATGGCACTAAGTACCTGACATAATGGCACTAAGTACTTGACACAATGGCACTAAGTACCTGACACAATGGCACTAAGTACCTGACACAATGGCACTAGGTACCTGACACAATGGCACTAAGTACCTGACACAATGGCACTAAGTACCTGACACTATGGCACTAAGTACCTGAAACTATGGCACTAAGTACCTGACACAATGGCACTAAGTACCTGACACAATGGCACTAAGTACCTGACATAATGGCACTATGTACTTGACACAATGGCACTAAGTACCTGACACAATGGCACTAAGTACCTGACGCAATGGCACTAAGTACCTGACACTATGGCACTAAGTACCTGACACAATGGCACTAAGTACCTGACACAATGGCACTAAGTACCTGACACTATGGCACTAAGTACCTGACACAATGGCACTAAGTACCTGACACAATGGCACTAAGTACCTGACACAATGGCACTAAGTACCTGACACAATGGCACTAAGTACCTGACACAATGGCACTAAGTACCTGACACAATGGCACTAAGTACCTGACACTACGGCACTAAGTACATGACACAATGGCACTAAGTACCTGTTACTATGGCACTAAGTACCTGACACAATGGCACTAAGTACCTGACACAATGGCACTAAGTACCTGACACTATAGCACTAAGTACCTGACACAATGGCACTAAGTACCTGACACAATGGCACTAAGTACCTGACACAATGGCACTAAGTACCTGACACTATAGCACTAAGTACCTGACACTATAGCACTAAGTACCTGACACTATAGCACTAAGTACCTGACAACCCTCAGAAGACCAGGTGTTGTTGCTCTCATCCCAGAAGCGACAACCAGAGATGAGGCTGAGCAAGGTGTAGCTTGTGTTGACGCTGGTGTCTTCCACCTGAATGTTGCCTCCTGTTGGGTGAAGTTAGAGGTTAGAGTTCAGGTTAGAGGTTAGAGTTCAGGTTAGAGGTCAGAGTTCAGGTTAGAGGTTAGAGTTCAGGTTAGAGGTCAGAGTTCAGGTTAGAGGTTAGAGTTCAGGTTAGAGGTCAGAGTTCAGCTTAGAGGTTAGAGGTTAGATTTCAAGTTAGAGTTCATGTTAAGGGTTAGAGTTAGAGGTTAGAGTTCAGGTTAGAAGTTAGAGTTCAGGTTAGAGGTTACAGATCAGGTTAGAGTTCATGTTAGAGGTTAGATTTCAAGGTAGAGTTCACATTAGTTTGATATTATCGTTCAGCACTGCTAAAGATTTTCGTTATTTCTGGCTTACTCTTTAATTTGACTCCAATCCAGTAGGTGCCATTTAACGAGGTCACTTCCAGGGGAACAGAGACTGAAAATCTGAAAGTGAAAGTTGTAAATCTGAAAGTTTATATCAGGACAGACAAAGAATGCCGTAGAATGTTGTAAATCTGAAAGTGAAAGTTGTAAATGTTGTAAATCTGAAAGTTTATATCAGGACAGATAAAGATTGCCGTAGAATGTTGTAAATCTGAAAGTGAAAGTTGTAAATGTTGTAAATCTGAAAGTTTATATCAGGACAGAAAAATATTGCCGTAGAATGTTGTAAATCTGAAAGTTTAAGATATCTTTCAGGTCAGAGAATTCTTAATCTTATTTTTTTAGAAATGTTTGTTTTACTTTTTAGTTTCTGGTATACTTTGTAGTGGTGGATCATGTAGTGGATGATGTGGTGGATTATTTGGTGGATCGTGCGGTGGATCGTGTATTCACCTTAACTGGTCCTTCTGTGTGTCGTTGAGTTGTCCATAGCCCTTGAGTTGGGTGACCTGTGTGTTGGGACTGGAGCCAGTGAAGTCGTAGTGCGTCAGGTTAGGTCTTTCGCCGTAGGCCACATACACTGAGTATTCCGAGGAGCTCTCCTGGGGTTCTAGAACAATCTGGTGCAAACAATTGATCAAACAGCCCTTGATATACTTCAAACAATTTTCAAAAATTCCAATATGTATTTGAACACAAAATTCCTGGGAGGGCTAGGGTGAAGACTGCCCTACAGGGGAGGGCTAGGGTGAAGACTGCCCTACAGGGGAGGGCTAGTGTGAAGACAGCCGTACCTGTAGAGAGGAGTTTGTGTCTGTGATGTTGACGGGGTGGTAGTTGAAGTTGGTCCAGGTATCTTGTTTGGTCTTGGTCAAGAGCAGGAACAAGCTGTGCTCATACATGGTGGCGTCCCCTGCGCGTGTTTAAACCGTCAGCAAAATTAGATTTAACAGTCAACATATTCAGATATTATGAGATACAAGATATATGTGTGTGTATGTGTGTGTGTGTGTTGTGTGTGTGTATGTGAAACCCACAATGAATTTAAATGGCGAGTTTTCAAAAAATTATTTGAAACGAGCTGACGCACGACGTAACATACGCCGCCATCTAGTTGTTTTATTTTCTGCTTATTGGCAATACATCATTTGTAAATTCGAGACTACCCCCATCCCCCGCGGCAATAGAGAAGATTGTTTGACTCACGTTCTATCCACAGCTGGATTGGTTCCTCAGTCCCTGAGACGGTCAGTTTCTCGCCGTTACACGAGTACCCTAGCGACAGGACACCTTTGCCCACACTGTTGGCAACTTCGGCGTAGGTGAACGGGTTGTCTGAGTCAGCCATAAACTGTAAGACATGGGTTGTCAGTCAGTCAATATATATCGGGCTACCTACAATGGTATCGGGCTACATACAGTGGTATCGGGCTACTACAACAGTATACAATGCCAGGAGGGGAACTTTTGGAGACTAAAATCAAATGTTGAGTGCAAGAACTAGCAGCAAATGTGCAACCATGAAACACAACAAGAACCTTTTTAAAAGTTGTGTGATATTATAAGATCCTTGTATGCCAAGAAAACAAACCCAGTAGGCGTGTAGTGGACGAATAAAAGTATAACAGAGAGACCGCTGGACAAGAATCATTTCAAACCCATTTTCAAATAGCAAAAGGTTGCGATTACTCTTGTAGCAGTTTTGGACACAAGCACCGGACGTTTAGTGAAGCTCGGGAAGAAAGATGACCTAATTATTAAGTGGTGACCTTTACATCCACCACAACAGCCAGATCAGCAGCAACCAGTTCGCCGGCCCGTTTCATATTTCATTCACAATAAACGAGGCTATCTGCTTTCCGAGACGATCCTTTTGATAAAATTTCATCTGGATTTTGAGAAGAACAGCCACAGAAGAACAACCTCAGAAGAACAACCTCAGAATGCAAAGGGTCCTAACCAAACATCTTGACAAGCTCAAAAAAACAGACGACATCAGCCTCCTCTCACAGACGACATCAGACGACATCAGCCTCCTCTCACAGACGACATCAGACGACATCAGCCTCCTCTCACAGACGACATCAGACGACATCAGCCTCCTCTCACAGACGACATCAGCCTCCTCTCACAGACGACATCAGACGACATCAGCCTCCTCTCACAGACGACATCAGACGACATCAGCCTCCTCTCACAGACGACATCAGACGACATCAGACTCCTCTCACAGACGACATCAGACGACATCAGCCTCCTCTCACAGACGACATCAGACGACATCAGCCTCCTCTCACAGACGACATCAGACGACATCAGACTCCTCTCACAGACGACATCAGACGACATCAGCCTCCTCTCACAGACGACATCAGCCTCCTCTCACAGACGACATCAGACGACATCAGCCTCCTCTCACAGACGACATCAGACGACATCAGCCTCCTCTCACAGACGACATCAGACGACATCAGCCTCCTCTCACAGACGACATCAGACGACATCAGCCTCCTCTCACAGACGACATCAGACGACATCAGCCTCCTCTCACAGACGACATCAGACGACATCAGACTCCTCTCACAGACGACATCAGACGACATCAGCCTCCTCTCACAGACGACATCAGACGACATCAGCCTCCTCTCACAGACGACATCAGCCTCCTCTCACAGACGACATCAGACGACATCAGCCTCCTCTCACAGACGACATCAGACGACATCAGCCTCCTCTCACAGACGACATCAGACGACATCAGCCTCCTCTCACAGACGACATCAGACGACATCAGCCTCCTCTCACAGACGACATCAGCCTCCTCTCACAGACGACATCAGACGACATCAGCCTCCTCTCACAGACGACATCAGACGACATCAGCCTCCTCTCACAGACGACATCAGACGACATCAGCCTCCTCTCACAGACGACATCAGCCTCCTCTCACAGACGACATCAGCCTCCTCTCACAGACGACATCAGACGACATCAGCCTCCTCTCACAGACGACATCAGACGACATCAGCCTCCTCTCACAGACGACACCAGACGACATCAGCCTCCTCTCACAGACGACATCAGCCTCCTCTCACAGACGACATCAGACGACATCAGCCTCCTCTCACAGACGACATCAGACGACATCAGCCTCCTCTCACAGACGACATCAGACGACATCAGCCTCCTCTCACAGACGACATCAGACGACATCAGCCTCCTCTCACAGACGACATCAGCCTCCTCTCACAGACGTCATCAGCCTCCTCTCACAGACGACATCAGCCTCCTCTCACAGACGACATCAGACGACATCAGCCTCCTCTCACAGACGACATCAGACGACATCAGCCTCCTCTCACAGACGACATCAGACGACATCAGCCTCCTCTCACAGACGACATCAGCCTCCTCTCACAGACGACATCAGACGACATCAGCCTCCTCTCACAGACGACATCAGACGACATCAGCCTCCTCTCACAGACGACACCAGACGACATCAGCCTCCTCTCACAGGCGACATCAGCCTCCTCTCACAGACGACATCAGACGACATCAGCCTCCTCTCACAGACGACACCAGACGACATCAGCCTCCTCTCACAGACGACATCAGACGACATCAGCCTCCTCTCACAGACGACATCAGCCTCCTCTCACAGACGACATCAGACGACATCAGCCTCCTCTCACAGACGACATCAGACGACATCAGCCTCCTCTCACAGACGACACCAGACGACATCAGCCTCCTCTCACAGACGTCATCAGCCTCCTCTCACAGACGACATCAGACGACATCAGCCTCCTCTCACAGACGACACCAGACGACATCAGCCTCCTCTCACAGACGACATCAGACGACATCAGCCTCCTCTCACAGACGACATCAGACGACATCAGCCTCCTCTCACAGACGACATCAGACGACATCAGCCTCCTCTCACAGACGACATCAGCCTCCTCTCACAGACGTCATCAGCCTCCTCTCACAGACGTCATCAGCCTCCTCTCACAGACGACATCAGACGACATCAGCCTCCTCTCACAGACGACATCAGACGACATCAGCCTCCTCTCACAGACGTCATCAGCCTCCTCTCACAGACGTCATCAGCCTCCTCTCACAGACGACATCAGACGACATCAGCCTCCTCTCACAGACGACATCAGACGACATCAGCCTCCTCTCACAGACGACATCAGACGACATCAGACTCCTCTCACAGACGACATCAGCCTCCTCTCACAGACGACATCAGACGACATCAGCCTCCTCTCACAGACGACATCAGCCTCCTCTCACAGACGACATCAGACGACATCAGACGACATCAGACGACATCATCCTCCTCTCACAGACGACATCAGACGACATCAGCCTCCTCTCACAGACGACATCAGACGACATCAGCCTCCTCTCACAGACGACACCAGACGACATCAGCCTCCTCTCACAGACGACACCAGACGACATCAGCCTCCTCTCACAGACGACATCAGCCTCCTCTCACAGACGACATCAGACGACATCAGCCTCCTCTCACAGACGACATCAGACGACATCAGCCTCCTCTCACAGACGACACCAGACGACATCAGCCTCCTCTCACAGACGACATCAGACGACATCAGCCTCCTCTCACAGACGACATCAGCCTCCTCTCACAGACGACATCAGCCTCCTCTCACAGACGACATCAGACGACATCAGCCTCCTCTCACAGACGACATCAGCCTCCTCTCACAGACGACATCAGACGACATCAGCCTCCTCTCACAGACGACATCAGACGACATCAGCCTCCTCTCACAGACGACACCAGACGACATCAGCCTCCTCTCACAGACGACATCAGCCTCCTCTCACAGACGACATCAGACGTCATCAGCCTCCTCTCACAGACGACATCAGACGACATCATCCTCCTCTCACAGACGACATCAGCCAAGTATCAAGTCTATCTATCCAAGTATCAAGTCTATCTACCCAAGTATCAAGTCTAGCTACCCAAGTATCAAATCTAGCTACCCAAGTATCAAGTCTAGCTACCAAGGTATGGCATATGTGTACCTGTATCTAGCTTACCTCCCATGGTATCGAAGCTATCTAAGTTAGTATTGAAGTTGTCTACGATGGTATCGAGACTATCAACCATGGTATCGAGGCTATCTAGCATAATATCGAGGTTGATATATCTATCGTGGCTGCTTACCATAGTATTTAGACTAGGACAATTAGCAGCGGAGCCCGCCAGAACAGAATTGGGGACATCAAAACCTCCTGAAGGTAGGTCCATCGTCTGCTTGCTGTCATCTGTATCTGCAAAGTTCAATGGATTTTTTTATGTATACCGTCTATGTATAAAATCTATGTATACCATCTAAGTATACCATCTATGTATACCATCTATGTATACCATCTATGTATACCATCTATGTATACCATCTATGTATGCCATCTATGTATGCCATCTATGTATACCATCTATGTATACCATCTATGTATACCATCTATGTATACCATCTATGTATACCATCTATGTATACCATCTATGTATACCATCTATGTATACCATCTATGAATACCATCTATGTGTACCATCTGTGTATACCATCTGTGTATACCATCAATGTATACCATCTATGTATACCATCTATGTATACCATCTATGTATACCATCTATGTATACCATCTATGTATACCATCTATGTATACCATCTATGAATACCATCTATGTGTACCATCTGTGTATACCATCTATGTATACCATCTATGTATACCATCTATGTATACCATCTATGTTTACCATCTATGTATACCATCTATGTATACCATCTATGTATACCATCTATGTATAACATCTATGTATACCATCTATGTATACCATCTATGTATACCATCTATGTATACCATCTATGTATACCATCTATGTATACCATCTATGTATACCATCTATGTATACCATCTATGTATACCATCTATGTATACCATCTATGTATACCATCTATGTGTACCATCTCTGTGTAACATCTATGTATACCATCTATGTGTACCATCTATGTATACCATCAGATTCCAATCATATTGGTTGATATCAACAGTGGATTATAAATTTTTAACGATGCTACTTTCCAATACGTTGATAGCAAAATGGAGGTTTACCATTGGTTGAATTTTTGACCATGACCTTAGCCAACTTCATGCTAAGGCGGGGGGTGGTGAAGGCGCGTTGGGTTGTGTCATCGTCTGCCGACTTGCTGCCCACGGCCTCTGAGACCGTCCCAAGTGCAGACAGCCCGGCTGTGGCCACTACTCTGTCCTGTCAACAAGAAAATAAAACTTCACTGTCTGCCTCATGTTAGTCTTTTTTTTAGTTTTCTGTCCTGTCAACAAGAAAATAAAACTTCACTGGCTGCCTCATGTTAGTCTTGGTTTCAGTTTTCTGTCCTGTCAACAAGAAAATAAAAATTCAATGTCTGCCTCATGTTAGTCTTTGTTTTAGTTTTCTGTCCTGTCAACAAGAAAATAAAACTTCACTGGCTGCCTCATGTTAGTCTTGGTTTTAGTTTCCTGTCCTGTCAACAAGAAAATAAAACTTCACTGTCTGCCTCATGTTAGTCTTGGTTTTAGTTTTCTGTCCTGTCAACAAGAAAATAAAACTTCACTGTCTGCCTCATGTTAGTCTTGGTTTTAGTTTTCTGTCCTGTCAACAAGAAAATAAAACTTCACTGTCTGCCTCATGTTAGTCTTGGTTTTAGTTTTCTGTCCTGTCAACAAGAAAATAAAACTTCACTGTCTGCCTCATGTTAGTCTTGGTTTTAGTTTTCTGTCCTGTCAACAAGAAAATAAAACTTCACTGTCTGCCTCATGTTAGTCTTGGTTTTAGTTTTCTGTCATGTCAACAAGAAAATAAAACTTCACTGTCTGGCTCATGTTAGTCTTGGTTTTAGTTTTCTGTCCTGTAAACAAGAAAATAAAACTTCACTGTCTGCCTCATGTTAGTCTTGGTTTCAGTTTTCTGTCCTGTCAACAAGAAAATACAACTTCACTGTCTGCCTCATGTTAGTCTTGGTTTCAGTTTTCTGTCCTGTCAACAAGAAAATAAAACTTCACTGTCTGCCTCATGTTAGTCTTGGTTTCAGTTTTCTGTCCTGTCAACAAGAAAATACAACTTCACTGTCTGCCTCATGTTAGTCTTGGTTTCAGTTTTCTGTCCTGTCAACAAGAAAATAAAACTTCACTGTCTGCCTCATGTTAGTCTTGGTTTTAGTTTTCTGTCCTGTCAACAAGAAAATAAAACTTCACTGTCTGCCTCATGTTAGTCTTGGTTTTAGTTTTCTGTCCTGTCAACAAGAAAATAAAACTTCACTGTCTACCTCATGTTAGTCTTGGTTTTAGTTTTCTGTCCTGTCAACAAGAAAATAAAACTTCACTGTCTGCCTCATGTTAGTCTTGGTTTTAGTTTTCTGTCCTGTCAACAAGAAAATAAAACTTCACTGTCTGCCTCATGTTAGTCTTGGTTTCAGTTTTCTGTCTTGTCAACAAGAAAATAAAACTTCACTGTCTGCCTCATGTTAGTCTTGGTTTCAGTTTTCTGTCCTGTCAACAAGAAAATAAAACTTCACTGTCTGCCTCATGTTAGTCTTGGTTTCAGTTTTCTGTCCTGTCAACAAGAAAATAAAACTTCACTGTCTGCCTCATGTTAGTCTTGGTTTTAGTTTTCTGTCCTGTCAACAAGAAAATAAAACTTCACTGTCTGCCTCATGTTAGTCTTGGTTTTAGTTTTCTGTCCTGTCAACAAGAAAATAAAACTTCACTGTCTGCCTCATGTTAGTCTTGGTTTCAGTTTTCTGTCCTGTCAACAAGAAAATAAAACTTCACTGTCTTCCTCATGTTAGTCTTGGTTTTAGTTTTCTGTCCTGTCAACAAGAAAATAAAACTTCACTGTCTGCCTCATGTTAGTCTTGGTTTTAGTTTTCTGTCCTGTCAACAAGAAAATAAAACCACTGTCTGCCTCATGTTAGTCTTGGTTTCAGTTTTCTGTCCTGTCAACAAGAAAATAAAACTTCACTGTCTGCCTCATGTTAGTCTTGGTTTCAGTTTTCTGTCCTGTCAACAAGAAAATAAAACTTCACTGTCTGCCTCATGTTAGTCTTGGTTTTAGTTTTCTGTCCTGTCAACAAGAAAATAAAACTTCACTGTCTGCCTCATGTTAGTCTTGGTTTCAGTTTTCTGTCCAGTCAAAAAGAAAATAAAACTTCACTGTCTGCCTCATGTTAGTCTTGGTTTCAGTTTTCTGTCCTGTCAAAAAGAAAATAAAACTTCACTGTCTGCCTCATGTTAGTCTTGGTTTTAGTTTTCTGTCCTGTCAACAAGAAAATAAAACTTCACTGTCTGCCTCATGTTAGTCTTGGTTTTAGTTTTCTGTCCTGTCAACAAGAAAATAAAACTTCACTGTCTGCCTCATGTTAGTCTTGGTTTTAGTTTTCTGTCCTGTCAACAAGAAAATAAAACTTCACTGTCTGCCTCATGTTAGTCTTGGTTTTAGTTTTCTGTCCTGTCAACAAGAAAATAAAACTTCACTGTCTGCCTCATGTTAGTCTTGGTTTCAGTTTTCTGTCTTGTCAACAAGAAAATAAAACTTCACTGTCTGCCTCATGTTAGTCTTGGTTTCAGTTTTCTGTCCTGTCAACAAGAAAATAAAACTTCACTGTCTGCCTCATGTTAGTCTTGGTTTTAGTTTTCTGTCCTGTCAACAAGAAAATAAAACTTCACTGTCTGCCTCATGTTAGTCTTGGTTTCAGTTTTCTGTCCTGTCAAAAAGAAAATAAAACTTCACTGTCTGCCTCATGTTAGTCTTGGTTTCAGTTTTCTGTCCTGTCAAAAAGAAAATAAAACTTCACTGTCTGCCTCATGTTAGTCTTGGTTTTAGTTTTCTGTCCTGTCAACAAGAAAATAAAACTTCACTGTCTGCCTCATGTTAGTCTTGGTTTCAGTTTTCTGTCCTGTCAACAAGAAAATAAAACTTCACTGTCTGCCTCATGTTAGTCTTGGTTTTAGTTTTCTGTCCTGTCAACAAGAAAATAAAACTTCACTGTCTGCCTCATGTTAGTCTTGGTTTCAGTTTTCTGTCCAGTCAAAAAGAAAATAAAACTTCACTGTCTGCCTCATGTTAGTCTTGGTTTCAGTTTTCTGTCCTGTCAAAAAGAAAATAAAACTTCACTGTCTGCCTCATGTTAGTCTTGGTTTTAGTTTTCTGTCCTGTCAACAAGAAAATAAAACTTCACTGTCTGCCTCATGTTAGTCTTGGTTTTAGTTTTCTGTCCTGTCAACAAGAAAATAAAACTTCACTGTCTGCCTCATGTTAGTCTTGGTTTCAGTTTTCTGTCCTGTCAACAAGAAAATAAAACTTCACTGTCTGCCTCATGTTAGTCTTGGTTTCAGTTTTCTGTCCTGTCAAAAAGAAAATAAAACTTCACTGTCTGCCTCATGTTAGTCTTGGTTTCAGTTTTCTGTCCTGTCAACAAGAAAATAAAACTTCACTGTCTGCCTCATGTTAGTCTTGGTTTCAGTTTTCTGTCCTGTCAACAAGAAAATAAAACTTCACTGTCTGCCTCATGTTAGTCTTGGTTTTAGTTTTCTGTCCTGTCAACAAGAAAATAAAACTTCACTGTCTGCCTCATGTTAGTCTTGGTTTCAGTTTTCTGTCCAGTCAAAAAGAAAATAAAACTTCACTGTCTGCCTCATGTTAGTCTTGGTTTCAGTTTTCTGTCCTGTCAAAAAGAAAATAAAACTTCACTGTCTGCCTCATGTTAGTCTTGGTTTTAGTTTTCTGTCCTGTCAACAAGAAAATAAAACTTCACTGTCTGCCTCATGTTAGTCTTGGTTTTAGTTTTCTGTCCTGTCAACAAGAAAATAAAACTTCACTGTCTGCCTCATGTTAGTCTTGGTTTTAGTTTTCTGTCCTGTCAACAAGAAAATAAAACTTCACTGTCTGCCTCATGTTAGTCTTGGTTTTAGTTTTCTGTCCTGTCAACAAGAAAATAAAACTTCACTGTCTGCCTCATGTTAGTCTTGGTTTCAGTTTTCTGTCGTGTCAACAAGAAAATAAAACTTCACTGTCTTCCTCATGTTAGTCTTGGTTTTAGTTTTCTGTCCTGTCAACAAGAAAATAAAACTTCACTGTCTGCCTCATGTTAGTCTTGGTTTTAGTTTTCTGTCCTGTCAACAAGAAAATAAAACTTCACTGTCTGCCTCATGTTAGTCTTGGTTTCAGTTTTCTGTCCTGTCAACAAGAAAATAAAACTTCACTGTCTGCCTCATGTTAGTCTTGGTTTCAGTTTTCTGTCCTGTCAACAAGAAAATAAAACTTCACTGTCTGCCTCATGTTAGTCTTGGTTTTAGTTTTCTGTCCTGTCAACAAGAAAATAAAACTTCACTGTCTGCCTCATGTTAGTCTTGGTTTCAGTTTTCTGTCCAGTCAAAAAGAAAATAAAACTTCACTGTCTGCCTCATGTTAGTCTTGGTTTCAGTTTTCTGTCCTGTCAAAAAGAAAATAAAACTTCACTGTCTGCCTCATGTTAGTCTTGGTTTTAGTTTTCTGTCCTGTCAACAAGAAAATAAAACTTCACTGTCTGCCTCATGTTAGTCTTGGTTTTAGTTTTCTGTCCTGTCAACAAGAAAATAAAACTTCACTGTCTGCCTCATGTTAGTCTTGGTTTTAGTTTTCTGTCCTGTCAACAAGAAAATAAAACTTCACTGTCTGCCTCATGTTAGTCTTGGTTTTAGTTTTCTGTCCTGTCAACAAGAAAATAAAACTTCACTGTCTGCCTCATGTTAGTCTTGGTTTCAGTTTTCTGTCTTGTCAACAAGAAAATAAAACTTCACTGTCTGCCTCATGTTAGTCTTGGTTTCAGTTTTCTGTCCTGTCAACAAGAAAATAAAACTTCACTGTCTGCCTCATGTTAGTCTTGGTTTTAGTTTTCTGTCCTGTCAACAAGAAAATAAAACTTCACTGTCTGCCTCATGTTAGTCTTGGTTTCAGTTTTCTGTCCTGTCAAAAAGAAAATAAAACTTCACTGTCTGCCTCATGTTAGTCTTGGTTTCAGTTTTCTGTCCTGTCAAAAAGAAAATAAAACTTCACTGTCTGCCTCATGTTAGTCTTGGTTTTAGTTTTCTGTCCTGTCAACAAGAAAATAAAACTTCACTGTCTGCCTCATGTTAGTCTTGGTTTCAGTTTTCTGTCCTGTCAACAAGAAAATAAAACTTCACTGTCTGCCTCATGTTAGTCTTGGTTTTAGTTTTCTGTCCTGTCAACAAGAAAATAAAACTTCACTGTCTGCCTCATGTTAGTCTTGGTTTCAGTTTTCTGTCCAGTCAAAAAGAAACTAAAACTTCACTGTCTGCCTCATGTTAGTCTTGGTTTCAGTTTTCTGTCCTGTCAAAAAGAAAATAAAACTTCACTGTCTGCCTCATGTTAGTCTTGGTTTTAGTTTTCTGTCCTGTCAACAAGAAAATAAAACTTCACTGTCTGCCTCATGTTAGTCTTGGTTTTAGTTTTCTGTCCTGTCAACAAGAAAATAAAACTTCACTGTCTGCCTCATGTTAGTCTTGGTTTCAGTTTTCTGTCCTGTCAACAAGAAAATAAAACTTCACTGTCTGCCTCATGTTAGTCTTGGTTTCAGTTTTCTGTCCTGTCAAAAAGAAAATAAAACTTCACTGTCTGCCTCATGTTAGTCTTGGTTTCAGTTTTCTGTCCTGTCAACAAGAAAATAAAACTTCACTGTCTGCCTCATGTTAGTCTTGGTTTCAGTTTTCTGTCCTGTCAACAAGAAAATAAAACTTCACTGTCTGCCTCATGTTAGTCTTGGTTTTAGTTTTCTGTCCTGTCAACAAGAAAATAAAACTTCACTGTCTGCCTCATGTTAGTCTTGGTTTCAGTTTTCTGTCCAGTCAAAAAGAAAATAAAACTTCACTGTCTGCCTCATGTTAGTCTTGGTTTCAGTTTTCTGTCCTGTCAAAAAGAAAATAAAACTTCACTGTCTGCCTCATGTTAGTCTTGGTTTTAGTTTTCTGTCCTGTCAACAAGAAAATGAAACTTCACTGTCTGCCTCATGTTAGTCTTGGTTTTAGTTTTCTGTCCTGTCAACAAGAAAATAAAACTTCACTGTCTGCCTCATGTTAGTCTTGGTTTTAGTTTTCTGTCCTGTCAACAAGAAAATAAAACTTCACTGTCTGCCTCATGTTAGTCTTGGTTTTAGTTTTCTGTCCTGTCAACAAGAAAATAAAACTTCACTGTCTGCCTCATGTTAGTCTTGGTTTCAGTTTTCTGTCTTGTCAACAAGAAAATAAAACTTCACTGTCTGCCTCATGTTAGTCTTGGTTTCAGTTTTCTGTCCTGTCAACAAGAAAATAAAACTTCACTGTCTGCCTCATGTTAGTCTTGGTTTTAGTTTTCTGTCCTGTCAACAAGAAAATAAAACTTCACTGTCTGCCTCATGTTAGTCTTGGTTTCAGTTTTCTGTCCTGTCAAAAAGAAAATAAAACTTCACTGTCTGCCTCATGTTAGTCTTGGTTTCAGTTTTCTGTCCTGTCAAAAAGAAAATAAAACTTCACTGTCTGCCTCATGTTAGTCTTGGTTTTAGTTTTCTGTCCTGTCAACAAGAAAATAAAACTTCACTGTCTGCCTCATGTTAGTCTTGGTTTTAGTTTTCTGTCCTGTCAACAAGAAAATAAAACTTCACTTTCTGCCTCATGTTAGTCTTGGTTTTAGTTTTCTGTCCTGTCAACAAGAAAATAAAACTTCACTGTCTGCCTCATGTTAGTCTTGGTTTCAGTTTTCTGTCCTGTCAACAAGAAAATAAAACTTCACTGTCTGCCTCATGTTAGTCTTGGTTTCAGTTTTCTGTCCTGTCAACAAGAAAATAAAACTTCACTTTCTGCCTCATGTTAGTCTTGGTTTTAGTTTTCTGTCCTGTCAAAAAGAAAATAAAACTTCACTGTCTGCCTCATGTTAGTCTTGGTTTCAGTTTTCTGTCCTGTCAACAAGAAAATAAAACTTCACTGTCTGCCTCATGTTAGTCTTGGTTTCAGTTTTCTGTCCTGTCAACAAGAAAATAAAACTTCACTGTCTGCCTCATGTTAGTCTTGGTTTTAGTTTTCTGTCCTGTCAACAAGAAAATAAAACTTCACTGTCTGCCTCATGTTAGTCTTGGTTTCAGTTTTCTGTCCTGTCAACAAGAAAATAAAACTTCACTGTCTGCCTCATGTTAGTCTTGGTTTTAGTTTTCTGTCCTGTCAACAAGAAAATAAAACTTCACTGTCTGCCTCATGTTAGTCTTGGTTTTAGTTTTCTGTCCTGTCAACAAGAAAATAAAACTTCACAGTCTGCCTCATGTTAGTCTTGGTTTTAGTTTTCTGTCCTGTCAACAAGAAAATAAAACTTCACTGTCTGCCTCATGTTAGTCTTGGTTTCAGTTTTCTGTCATGTCAACCCTCACAACTTGTGGTCTCACCTTATCCACCCCCCCCCCCCCCCCCCACTCTTACATCCTGGTACAGGTAAAGTAACGGGTGATTTTGAAGACTACGATTATGTAAAACAAAAAGATTTTGTGAACGACGTAGTAAAAAGACGGAACGTGACAGAATGCGAAAGTAAATAAAGATTCACAGCGAACAACTTGTTGTAGAAATGATCACATCTATGTTTATCTATTGAGGTATAGGACTAACAAATTTGACAAATAGAAGAAAAGAATTAATTTAAAATGTTTTTCCAGTCCAACCTACCGTCGCCCTCCTCGCTCGGTCTCGTTCAGCCCTGGCCCTGTTGAGGGGCACCAGGTAAACTTCATAGATGTCGTCTGGGTGCTCGGAGTAGGTCATGACGTCAAACACGCGGTCCTGCAGCGTGAAGTCACCATCACACTTCATCATGTTGATGGCATCTGGGGAGTGGGGGAGTGAGGGGGGGGGGGGGTGTAAAGTCAACATCACACTTCATCATGTTGATGGCATCTGGGGAGTGGGGGAGTGGGGGTGTAAAGTCAACATCACACTTCATCATGTTGATTGTATCGGGGGAGTGGGGGTGGGGGGGGGGGTAAAGTCACCATCACACTTCATCATGTTGATTGTATCGGGGGAGTGGGGGAGTGGGGGTGTAAAGTCAACATCACACTTCATCATGTTGATGGCATCTGGGGAGTGGGGGAGTGGGGGTGTAAAGTCAACATCACACTTCATCATGTTGATGGCATCTGGGGAGTGGGGGAGTGGGGGTGTAAAGTCAACATCACACTTCATCATGTTGATTGTATCGGGGGAGTGGGGGTGGGGGGGGGGGGTAAAGTCACCATCACACTTCATCATGTTGATGGCATTGGGGGAATGGGGGGGGGGGAGAACGATATATCAGTCTTGATGTTTAGACTTACTACTCAATTTTTACCCGTAATGACGAATGTGTACAGTTAACGGCTGAAAAGGGGGAATAAATGACCATTGGATAAACACAAACATGGGATGTTGTAATAGACTGACCAGTGGACAAACATGGGATGTTGTAATACACTGACCAGTGGACAAACACAAACATGGGATGTTGTAATAGACTGACCAGTGGACAAACACAAACATGGGATGTTGTAATAGACTGACCAGTGGACAAACGTGGGATGTTGTAATAGACTGACCAGTGGACAAACATGGGATGTTGTAATAGACTGACCAGTGGACAAACGTGGGATGTTGTAATAGACTGACCAGTGGACAAACATGGGATGTTGTAATAGACTGACCAGTGGACAAACATGGGATGTTGTAATAGACTGACCAGTGGACAAACATGGGATGTTGTAATAGACTGACCAGTGGACAAACATGGGATGTTGTAATAGACTGACCAGTGGACAAACATGGGATGTTGTAATAGACTGACCAGTGGACAAACATGGGATGTTGTAATAGACTGACCAGTGGACAAACACAAACATGGGATGTTGTAATAGACTGACCAGTGGACAAACATGGGATGTTGTAATAGACTGACCAGTGGACAAACATGGGATGTTGTAATAGACTGACCAGTGGACAAACATGGGATGTTGTAATAGACTGACCAGTGGACAAACATGGGATGTTGTAATAGACTGACCAGTGGACAAACATGGGATGTTGTAATAGACTGACCAGTGGACAAACATGGGATGTTGTACTGGATGTCTTGTGATTTCATGACTTTCCTGAAAAGCAAACAGTCGTCAAAAATGTACTGGAACAATTCTCTGTACGTGTCCTTGTCCGCCAGACTACGTAGTAGCTCATGAGCAATGACTCGCGCAGGTCGCGGGTCGGTTCTAGGCAGGAACATTCTGAAAAGATGAAGTCAATCGAGAAAAGAAATATACATCGATATTGCGCTAGCGTTTCCATTCTCATAAAAACTCGGTCTCTCTCTCTCTTTCTCCCTCTCTCCCTCCCTCTCTCTCTGTAAAGATATATATATATATATATATATATATATATATATATATATATATATATATATATATATTTAAGTAAATGTTTATCAAATTTTAAAATATTTCCGAGAAACCCGGAAGTTATCCTTTTTCTTTCTTAACAAACCTTTGAATTTTCATGATTTTATATTATACTAGCAGTATACCCGTGCTCCGTCACGGTGAATCTTTTTAAAATGTATTAACTTAAAAAAAAAATAACACAAACAAAACAGAAGCACAACACAAACACAACACAAACACAACACAACCACAACACAACACAAACACAACACAAACACAACACAAACACAACACAAACACAACACAAACACCGCACAAACACAACACAAACAAAACACATACCGGGACGGCTAGTATTATATAAAATGTTATATCTTCTTGTAGTTTGGTGCAGGTGTCTATAAAAGAGCTTTCTGGTGCGACTGACCAAAACGAATTCTCCTTCGTGCGCAAAAAATACAGACAAAAACGAATGCTCAAAAAAGGACACAAATAATAACTTGAGGGAATTCCTGTTCCCGAATAAAGATGTCTTTTTTTACGTCAAATGTCTTTGATTAAAAATATAATTAGTAAACAGTACGTTCAGTGCATAAAAAAATAAAAGACAGTATCTAAAACACCTTCCACGTTGTACTTGATCAATCCGTGCTAGTTATGTAAGTATTTTTTCCCCAACACCAAAACAAAGTAATAAAATGTAATTTTTCCCCCTCGATGTAATGTGTTTTTTTTAAATGAAAGTAATTGTTTTTACAGATTTTATCAAGGGATGTAATGAGTACTAAAGAACTAAATGTAAATAATTTTCAGACATTATCAGACATAATTAGAATTTGTGTAAAATGTGATTTTTTAAAAAATGTTTCTTTAATAAACATGTTGACAAAATTACTATTTTAAGTATGAAAAATGAAAATTGTTTTAAAACACTTTCAATATTAATTTTTTAAAATCATCAGTTTAGAAAAGTTTAGACGATAAGTACTTTAGACATTTAACACCACAAGTATGGGGTCTCTTTAAGTCTTATATTTCTTAGTAATCGTGAATACAAGCAAACATACAGAAATGAACTTTATATATTAGACTAGCGTGCACATTCCCGCGCGTTGCTGCGGTTTCTAAAAGAAGTCTGACGCTGGCTCAGTTTAATTATCGAATGTCGTGTGCCACCGTGTCAATATTGTAAGGTGCTCATTAAAACAAACGTATGCGCCATACCGCTCACGGGATAGCTCGGGGAGCCAAAAAGCACACTGCCGGAGCGCATGAGTTCAAGCCTGATTAGATTAAGTGAGCGACAATAATAATCGCCTATCGAACTCTTTAAAACGAATGTAGGCGCCATAATACTCAAGTGACAGCCCGGGGTGCCTTATTGCCTCTGACGGGGCGCCGGAGGTCGCGCCTTATTCGATATAGTCAACGTTTATTTTTGTTCATCATGTCTTTAATATATAGCCTTATTTTAAAACGAATGTAGTTGCCATAATGTAACAGGAGAGCCCGGGGCGCTTCGGGTCAAGCAACCGCCTGGGCGTGGGCGGCTGCGTCTATCGCTGTTTTATCGTTAAATATAGTGGTAACCCTTACCCACTATGCAGGAAGTCCAATTAGCGGATACCAAGTGCTAAGATAGCCGCTCTGGAACTTATGTCGACAAACAGTGTTTTGACAAAAATCGCACGCTCCAAGGCGACGCCCATAAGATTTTTTCCCCGTAAAAACCTTCTTTGGTGTATTCTCATAACTCCCTAAAGTTACATTGCACTCGGATGAACGGTGTCGAACCGCATATAGAGAACAATCGAATCGTTCCCTGCCGATGCACCACCCACCGCTATGAATTTGAATTTTTTTTTACTTCCCAAAGTTGGGAATATTAAAGGTCTATATGTAAATATGGATTTTTGAGAAAAAATAAACGCAAATATAATAATAAACGCAAATGCAAACATAATAGCAAACATATGCATATAAAAAAATAAACATAAACACAAACTTAAAAGCAAACAACGAAAATACAAACACAAATTTAAACGCAAACACAAACAATAACGCAAGAAAAATCTATTTAGATTTTAGTACAAAAATCAAAACTTTGAAAATATTACAATTGGTGATCAAGTCGATATTTTACTGCGTATTTTGCTTTATAGTTACTACTAGGGACACTTGGCTTCGTTTAGGTTTTTCGATAAACATTTGCCAAAAATGTCAACCTATACATAAGCTGTGTAATATTTAAACCAGTACTAAAATGTCCACTATTGTTATTTCAATACCAAAATATTAAATTCATTAATAGCCTAGAGATTTCTTCTTTTTAACGATTTAGTAAATGTCGTGTGATAGCGTTCTTTAGAGGGAGATAGGGTGTTAGGGCTCACGCCTGAAACTCCAGGCTAGATGCTAGATCTTAGTGTGTAGGACGTCTAGATCTTAGTCTGTAGGACGTCTAGATCTTAGTCTGTAGGACGTCTAGATCTTAGTGTGTAGGACGTCTCTCAGCCACCTCGATCGGTGCACAACTTAAGTTCAGAAAGTTGAAGCCACGGGGCGTAGAACTTTTCACACTCTACTCCATGGGTTTCCAACCTGGGGGTAGCGACCCCTTGGGGGGAAGGGCTTTCTGGGGGGTCGCCAACTGGTAGACTAAGCTCTAGCAATGAATAAAAAACTTAAATATTTAGAAAAATATTTGAAATTCACTGGAAATGGAACAGAGAATAAACAATTTGTACTGTGCAAAGTTGTTCTTTGTCAGGAGTCTATGAAAACTTCAAAACGTCAATTTGAGACGAGTCATTCGGAACACACCAAAAAAGATAATTATGTAGTTCTTTTGTCGGCATGAAGGTAGTTGCAAACGTCAGAGACTTGATCGAACAGAACGTTTCCACCAAGAAAACACAGCATTAGTGCAAGCATCATATGAAGTGGTATTAGAAATTTCCAAGCAAAAAACTTCTCACACAAAGGAGAAAATCTCATCAAACCATGTATGCTGAAGATGGTAAAATTAATTCTTGGGGATTCCAGTGCAGTAAAGATGCAACAAATATCTCTGTCTAATAATACTATGCAGCGGTTTATGTTAAAAGACAAATTTAGAATGAAATCAAGCTTTCACCATTGTTTGATTTTCAAGTTGACGAATCAACAGACGTGAGTTCGTGTTCGCAGTTGCTTGTCTTTGTGAAATATATTCATTCAGATGTTATCAAATAAGAGTTGATGTTTTGTGAAGATATCATGGAGAAAATAAATACGTTTTTTTTTAAACTGGAGTATTAAAATGGGAAAACGGTTGTGGGGCTTGTATGGATGGTGCGTCATGTTTGGGTCAAAATGGGGATTTCAGAAAAAGTAAAAGGTAAAAGATTTAGCTCCCTAATGAAAGGGAATCCACTGCATGATTCACATATGCCCTCGCCAGCAAGACTTATCCGACTCCATTGCTAATAAAAGTCGTAAATCATATTAAATCTGGAGCCCTAAACACCTGTCTGTTTCAAGAACTCTCAAAGACATGGATAAAGATCACGAGGTTCTACACTTCAGTACGCTGGCTGTCAATAGGAAATGTCAATCGTGTTTTTGAATTGAAAGATGAAATCAAAATGTTCTTGGAAGTGCAAGGAAACAAGACCTCTTGATATACTTTAACGACATGGTGTGGTTGGAGAGAGTATCATACCTAGCAGATATATTCGAACATCAACATAAGCTTAACCTGATAAAGGAACGAATATTATCTCTTTTCATGATAATCTCTCGGCATTTTTATCAAAGCTGCAAAATTGGCGAGGAAAAATAAATATTTGAAATACTGCCATGTTTGAGAAACTCTGCAGTGTGGTGTGATAGATAACATGTTTAAAGAATTATGTGCATCTTGAATCTCTTGACAACGAACTGCGGCGTTATTTTCCCCGAGCTGAAAGAAGAAGAATCTGCATTGTCACACATTCTCTGCTTTCCTACAAGATGAATTCTTAAATTTACAAAATTTAATTGTTAATGCTAGTTAATGCTTGTTAATAGCATGTAATTTTGCTCATCGTATTAAAACAGTTATCAAGAATAATTCATATTGAAAGTCTACTAGAAAATATTAATTTAGTGCTTATTATTTTCTTTACTAATTTCGACTTGTTAATTATATGGGGGTCGCGGGTTTACGTTTTATGAAAGGGGGTCGCCACTCGAAAAGGTTGAGAACCACTGCTCTACTGCATATGCCAAGATCACACAAACAGGTAAAGTACCATGTTACTAAAATTAGAATTTTATTTAAAGTGTTCATTGTTGTGCTTGTGTTCGTGTTTACGTTTACGTTTGTCTTTGTCTTTGCGTTTGTGTTTATTGTTGTTGTTATGGTTGTGATTGTCGCTGTGGTTGTGGTTGTGGCTATGATTGTGGTTGTGGCTGTGTGTTTTTTTCGTTGTGGTTGCTTAGCATTAAAGTTGGATTTATGGTTATTTAAATAGTCTAAAATATAAGCAAAAATATATTTCCAAACCCCGGGCATCGCCTAGCATGCGCTGCTTAATAAACACAGGCGTCACGCTCCTTTATAGTTAGGTTTTTCACAAAGGCTAGCGTAGGACTGGCTGGGACGGTTCGTTTTGAATGCAATAGAATTGCATGACTAAAACAATTGCGCACCAAAATGAACACAAACAATGTGGTACAAATATAAATTTGACGATGTGGTACAAATATAAATTTGACGATGTGGTACAAATATAAATTTGACGATGTGGTACAAATATAAATTTGACGATGTGGTACAAGTATAAATTTGACGATGTGGTACAAATATAAATTTGACGATGTGGTACAAATATAAATTTGACGATGTGGTACAAATATAAATTTGACGATGTGGTACAAATATAAATTTGACGATGTGGTACAAATATAAATTTGACGATGTGGTACAAAAAGTGTGCTCATACCTCTCGTCTATCGGGACTGTGACTGGTTGTGGTAGAGGTGTTGTGACGTCAGTGGGAGGCAGAGCTGTCGTGGCTTGATACGGTTGTGGGGTGCTGAGGTAGGAAGATGTTAAATAGGGGTGTATTGGCAAGGTGTACAGGAGGTGGAGCAGTTGATTTCTCCAGGACCACATCCAACATCCTTCCGATCAATTCAACCCTGTCAATAACCCTTGAACCTCAACCAAATCCTAACCTTTGCCCTTAACCTAATCCTAACGTTCAACTCAAACTGCCAGACAAGGCACAGTTGAAGTAAATATTAGGATTTGGGTTAGGATTAGGGTATTCCCCGTGGAACATAAGGTTAATCTACACTTGGGTTAGGGTATTCCCCGTGGAACATAAGGTTAATCTACACTTGGGTTAGGGCATTCCCCGTGGAACATAAGGTTAATCTACACTTGGGTTAGGGTATTCCCCGTGGAACATAAGGTTAATCTACACTTGGGTTAGGGCATTCCCCGTGGAACATAAGGTTAATCTACACTTGGGTTAGGGTATTCCCCGTGGAACATAAGGTTAATCTACACTTGGGTTAGGGTATTCCCCGTGGAACATAAGGTTAATCTACACTTGGGTTAGGGCATTCCCCGTGGAACATAAGGTTAATCTACACTTGGGTTAGGGCATTCCCCGTGGAACATAAGGTTAATCTACACTTGGGTTAGGGTATTCCCCGTGGAACATAAGGTTAATCTACACTTGGGTTAGGGCATTCCCCGTGGAACATAAGGTTAATCTACACTTGGGTTAGGGTATTCCCCGTGGAACATAAGGTTAATCTACACTTGGGTTAGGGTATTCCCCGTGGAACATAAGGTTAATCTACACTTGGGTTAGGGCATTCCCCGTGGAACATAAGGTTAATCTACACTTGGGTTAGGGCATTCCCCGTGGAACATAAGGTTAATCTACACTTGGGTTAGGGCATTCCCCGTGGAACATAAGGTTAATCTACACTTGGGTTAGGGCATTCCCCGTGGAACATAAGGTTAATCTACACTTGGGTTAGGGCATTCCCCGTGGAACATAAGGTTAATCTACACTTTGGTTAGGGCATTCCCCGTGGAACATAAGGTTAATCTACACTTGGGTTAGGGTATTCCTCGTGGAACATAAGGTTAATCTACACTTGGGTTAGGGTATTCCCCGTGGAACATAAGGTTAATCTACACTTGGGTTAGGGTATTCCCCGTGGAACATATGGTTAATCTACACTTGGGTTAGGGCATTCCCCGTGGAACATAAAGTTAATCTACACTTGGGTTAGGGCATTCCCCGTGGAACATAAGGTTAATCTACACTTGGGTTAGGGCATTCCCCGTGGAACATAAAGTTAATCTACACTTGGGTTAGGGCATTCCCCGTGGAACATAAGGTTAATCTACACTTGGGTTAGGGCATTCCCCGTGGAACATAAGGTTAATCTACACTTGGGTTAGAACATTCCCCGTGGAACATATGGTTAATCTACACTTGGGTTAGGGTATTCCCCGTGGAACATAAGGTTAATCTACACTTGGGATAGGGCATTCCCCGTGGAACATAAGGTTAATCTACACTTGGGTTAGGGCATTCCCCGTGGAACATAAGGTTAATCTACACTTGGGTTAGGGTATTCCCCGTGGAACATATGGTTAATCTACACTTGGGTTAGGGCATTCCCCGTGGAACATAAGGTTAATCTACACTTGGGTTAGGGTATTCCTCGTGGAACATAAGGTTAATCTACACTTGGGTTAGGGCATTCCCCGTGGAACATAAGGTTAATCTACACTTGGGTTAGGGTATTCCCCGTGGAACATAAAGTTAATCTACACTTGGGTTAGGGTATTCCCCGTGGAACATAAGGTTAATCTACACTTGGGTTAGGGCATTCCCCGTGGAACATAAGGTTAATCTACACTTGGGTTAGGGCATTCCCCGTGGAACATAAGGTTAATCTACACTTGGGTTAGGGCATTCCCCGTGGAACATAAGGTTAATCTACACTTGGGTTAGGGCATTCCCCGTGGAACATAAGGTTAATCTACACTTGGGTTAGAGCATTCCACGTGAAACATAAGGTTAATCTACACTTGGGTTAGGGTATTCCCCGTGGAACATAAGGTTAATCTACACTTGGGTTAGGGCATTCCCCGTGGAACATAAGGTTAATCTACACTTGGGTTAGGGCATTCCCCGTGGAACATAAGGTTAATCTACACTTGGGTTAGGGTATTCCTCGTGGAACATAAGCTTAATCTACACTTGGGTTAGGGCATTCCCCGTGGAACATAAGGTTAATCTACACTTGGGTTAGGGTATTCCCCGTGGAACATATGGTTAATCTACACTTGGGTTAGGGCATTCCCCGTGGAACATAAGGTTAATCTACACTTGGGTTAGGGTATTCCCCGTGGAACATAAAGTTAATCTACACTTGGGTTAGGGTATTCCCCGTGGAACATAAGGTTAATCTACACTTGGGTTAGGGCATTCCCCGTGGAACATAAGGTTAATCTACACTTGGGTTAGGGTATTCCCCGTGGAACATAAGGTTAATCTACACTTGGGTTAGGGCATTCCCCGTGGAACATAAAGTTAATCTACACTTGGGTTAGGGCATTCCCCGTGGAACATAAGGTTAATCTACACTTGGGTTAGGACATTCCCCGTGGAACATAAAGTTAATCTACACTTGGGTTAGGGCATTCCCCGTGGAACATAAGGTTAATCTACACTTGGGTTAGGGTATTCCCCGTGGAACATAAAGTTAATCTACACTTGGGTTAGGGCATTCCCCGTGGAACATAAAGTTAATCTACACTTGGGTTAGGGCATTCCCCGTGGAACATAAGGTTAATCTACACTTGGGTTAGGGCATTCCCCGTGGAACATAAGGTTAATCTACACTTGGGTTAGGGTATTCCCCGTGGAACATAAGGTTAATCTATACTTGGGTTAGGGCATTCCCCGTGGAACATAAGGTTAATCTACACTTGGGTTAGGGCATTCCCCGTGGAACATAAGGTTAATCTACACTTGGGTTAGGGCATTCCCCGTGGAACATAAGGTTAATCTACACTTGGGTTAGGGTATTCCCCGTGGAACATATGGTTAATCTACACTTGGGTTAGGGCATTCCCCGTGGAACATAAGGTTAATCTACACTTGGGTTAGGGCATTCCCCGTGGAACATAAGGTTAATCTACACTTGGGTTAGGGCATTCCCCGTGGAACATAAGGTTAATCTACACTTGGGTTAGGGCATTCCCCGTGGAACATAAGGTTAATCTACACTTGGGTTAGGGTATTCCCCGTGGAACATATGGTTAATCTACACTTGGGTTAGGGCATTCCCCGTGGAACATAAGGTTAATCTACACTTGGGTTAGGGTATTCCTCGTGGAACATAAGGTTAATCTACACTTGGGTTAGGGCATTCCCCGTGGAACATAAGGTTAATCTACACTTGGGTTAGGGTATTCCCCGTGGAACATATGGTTAATCTACACTTGGGTTAGGGCATTCCCCGTGGAACATAAGGTTAATCTACACTTGGGTTAGGGCATTCCCCGTGGAACATATGGTTAATCTACACTTGGGTTAGGGCATTCCCCGTGGAACATAAAGTTAATCTACACTTGGGTTAGGGCATTCCCCGTGGAACATAAGGTTAATCTACACTTGGGTTAGGGCATTCCCCGTGGAACATAAGGTTAATCTACACTTGGGTTAGGGCATTCCCCGTGGAACATAAGGTTAATCTACACTTGGGTTAGGGTATTCCTCGTGGAACATAAGGTTAATCTACACTTGGGTTAGTGCATTCCCCGTGGAACATATGGTTAATCTACACTTGGGTTAGGGCATTCCCCGTGGAACATAAGGTTAATCTACACTTGGGTTAGGGCATTCCCCGTGGAACATAAGGTTAATCTACACTTGGGTTAGGGCATTCCCCGTGGAACATAAGGTTAATCTACACTTGGGTTAGGGTATTCCCCGTGGAACATAAAGTTAATCTACACTTGGGTTAGGGCATTCCCCGTGGAACATAAGGTTAATCTACACTTGGGTTAGGGCATTCCCCGTGGAACATAAGGTTAATCTACACTTGGGTTAGGGCATTCCCCGTGGAACATAAGGTTAATCTACACTTGGGTTAGGGTATTCCCCGTGGAACATAAAGTTAATCTACACTTGGGTTAGGGCATTCCCCGTGGAACATAAGGTTAATCTACACTTGGGTTAGGGTATTCCCCATGGAACATAAAGTTAATCTACACTTGGGTTAGGGTATTCCCCGTGGAACATAAGGTTAATCTACACTTGGGTTAGGGCATTCCCCGTGGAACATAAGGTTAATCTACACTTGGGTTAGGGCATTCCCCGTGGAACATAAGGTTAATCTACACTTGGGTTAGGGTATTCCCCGTGAAACATAAAGTTAATCTACACTTGGGTTAGGGCATTCCCCGTGGAACATAAGGTTAATCTACACTTGGGTTAGGGCATTCCCCGTGGAACATAAGGTTAATCTACACTTGGGTTAGGGCATTCCCCGTGGAACATAAGGTTAATCTACACTTGGGTTAGGGTATTCCCCGTGGAACATAAAGTTAATCTACACTTGGGTTAGGGTATTCCCCGTGGAACATAAAGTTAATCTACACTTGGGTTAGGGCATTCCCCGTGGAACATAAGGTTAATCTACACTTGGGTTAGGGTAATCCCCGTTGAACATAAAGTTAATCTACACTTGGGTTAGGGCATTCCCCGTGGAACATAAGGTTAATCTACACTTGGGTTAGGGTATTCCCCGTGGAACATAAGGTTAATCTACACTTGGGTTAGGGCATTCCCCGTGGAACATAAGGTTAATCTACACTTGGGTTAGGGCATTCCCCGTGGAACATAAGGTTAATCTACACTTGGGTTAGGGCATTCCCCGTGGAACATAAGGTTAATCTACACTTGGGTTAGGGTATTCCCCGTGGAACATAAGGTTAATCTACACTTGGGTTAGGGTATTCCCCGTGGAACATAAGGTTAATCTACACTTGGGTTAGGGCATTCCCCGTGGAACATAAAGTTAATCTACACTTGGGTTAGGGCATTCCCCGTGGAACATAAGGTTAATCTACACTTGGGTTAGGGCATTCCCCGTGGAACATAAGGTTAATCTACACTTGGGTTAGGGCATTCCCCGTGGAACATATGGTTAATCTACACTTGGGTTAGGGCATTCCCCGTGGAACATAAGGTTAATCTACACTTGGGTTAGGGTATTCCTCGTGGAACATAAGGTTAGTCTACACTTGGGTTAGGGTATTCCCCGTGGAACATAAGGTTAATCTACACTTGAAACTCTTGTGGCACACGTGTTTGTTGGCGTGAAAAGGTAGGGGCAATGTCTTTGGGGAGGGGGGAACAATGGAGGTAATGTCTTTGGGGAGGGGGGTGGGGGTGGAGGGTGTTGTTAACCAATGGAGGTAATGTCTGCAGTGGTAACTTAGGGAAGTAATGTCTTGGTAACTAAGGGAGGTAATGTCTGCAGTGGTAACTAAGGGAGATAATGACTGCAGTGGTAACTAAGGGAGGTAATGTCTGCAGTGGTAACTAAGGGAAGTAATGTCTTGGTAACTAAGGGAGGTAATGTCTGCAGTGGTAACTAAGGGAGGTAATGTCTTCAGTGGTAACTAAAGGAGGTAATGTCTGCAGTGGTAACTAAGGGAAGTAATGTCTGCAGTGGTAACTAAGGGAAGTAATGTCTGCAGTGGTAACTAAGGGAAGTAATGTCTGCAGTGGTAACTAAGGGAATTAATGTCTTGGTAACTAAGGGAGGTAATGTCTGCAGTGGTAACTAAGGGAAGTAATGTCTGCAGTGGTAACTAAGGGAGGTAATGTCTGCAGTGGTAACTAAGGGAAGTAATGTCTGCAGTGGTAACTAAGGGAGATAATTGCTGCAGTGGTAACTTAGGGAGGTAATGTCTGCAGTGGTAACTAAGGGAGGTAATGTCTGCAGTGGTAACTAAGGGAAGTAATGTCTGCAGTGGTAACTAAGGGAAGTAATGTCTTGGTAACTAAGGGAGGTAATGTCTGCAGTGGTAACTAAGGGAGGTAATGTCTTGGTAACTTAGGGAGGTTATGTCTGCAGTGGTAACTAAGGGAAGTAATGTCTGCAGTGGTAACTAAAGGAATTAATGTCTGCAGTGGTAACTAAGGGAAGTAATGTCTGCAGTAGTAGCTTAGGGAGGTAATGTCTGCAGTGGTAACTAAGGGAAGTAATGTCTGCAGTGGTAACTAAGGGAATTAATGTCTTGGTAACTAAGGGAGGTAATGTCTGCAGTGGTAACTAAGGGAAGTAATGTCTGCAGTGGTAACTAAGGGAATTAATGTCTTGGTAACTAAGGGAGGTAATGTCTGCAGTGGTAACTAAGGGAAGTAATGTCTGCAGTGGTAACTAAAGGAATTAATGTCTGCAGTGGTAACTAAGTGAAGTAATGTCTGCAGTGGTAACTTAGGGAGGTAATGTCTGCAGTGGTAACTAAGGGAAGTAATGTCTGCAGTGGTAACTAAGGGAGATAATTGCTGCAGTGGTAACTAAGGGAGGTAATGTCTGCAGTGGTAACTAAGGGAGGTAATGTCTGCAGTGGTAACTAAGGGAGGTAATGTCTTGGTAACTAAGGGAAGTAATGTCTGCAGTGGTAACTAAGGGAAGTAATGTCTTGGTAACTAAGGGAAGTAATGTCTGCAGTGGTAACTAAGGGAAGTAATGTCTGCAGTGGTAACTAAGGGAAGTAATGTCTTGGTAACTAAGGGAGGTAATGTCTGCAGTGGTAACTAAGGGAGGTAATGTCTGCAGTGGTAACTAAGGGAATTAATGTCTTGGTAACTAAGGGAGGTAATGTCTGCAGTGGAAATTAAGGGAGATAATGTCTGCAGTGGTAACTAAGGGAAGTAATGTCTGCAGTGGTAACTAAGGGAATTAATGTCTGCAGTGGTAACTAAGGGAAGTAATGTCTTGGTAACTAAGGGAGGTAATGTCTGCAGTGGTAACTAAGGGAGGTAATGTCTGCAGTGGTAACTAAGGGAAGTAATGTCTGCAGTGGTAACTAAGGGAATTAATGTCTGCAGTGGTAACTAAGGGAGGTAATGTCTTGGTAACTAAGGGAAGTAATGTCTGCAGTGGTAACTAAGGGAGGTAATGTCTGCAGTGGTAACTAAAGGAATTAATGTCTGCAGTGGTAACTAAGGGAAGTAATGTCTGCAGTGGTAACTAAGGGAATTAATGTCTGCAGTGGTAACTAAGGGAAGTAATGTCTGCAGTGGTAACTAAGGGAAGTAATGTCTGCAGTGGTAACTAAGGGAATTAATGTCTTGGTAACTAAGGGAGGTAATGTCTGCAGTGGTAACTAAGGGAGATAATGTCTGCAGTGGTAACTAAGGGAGATAATGTCTGCAGTGGTAACTAAGGGAGGTAATGTCTGCAGTGGTAACTAAGGGAAGTAATGTCTTCAGTGGTAACTAAGGGAGGTTATGTCTTCAGTGGTAACTTAGGGAGGTAATGTCTTCAGTGGTAACTAAGGGAAGTAATGTCTGCAGTGGTAACTTAGGGAGGTAATGTCTTCAGTGGTAACTAAGGGAAGTAATGTCTGCAGTGGTAACTAAGGGAAGTAATGTCTTGGTAACTAAGGGAAGTAATGTCTTGGTAACTAAGGGAGGTAATGTCCTTGACACAAGAAATGAATGTATACTCGATTAGAATTGAGCATCTAGTTACGTGTAATCCCTTGATGCATTGAGTAGCAGACTGGCAACAGTGACGCCGCTGATGGTGAAGTTGTCACCGTTGTTTTGATACGAGGCCCGGACTGTCGGGGCAAGGCTCGAACCTACACTCGTGTGGATGATGCTTGACTGCGCTGTGCTCCACACGCTGGTCGATGTGGTGGTCGGTGTGGGTGGTGTGGTTATCCGTGTGGTGGTCCGTGTGGGTGATGTAGATGTTTGACCTCCAGCCACACGAGTGCTGGGCGTGGTAGGTCCATCGGAGCGTGTCGAGAGCAGGTCAAGCAGAACTGTGGTGACCTCAGTCTCGCTCGGAAGGCTGGAACTTGCCAGTGGCTTTGGACTGCTTGGGAAAATATTGCCAAGTCCACCAAGGCATTCTAAAAATAAGTTCAAGTGTCAAGTCAGTGAATTCCTAAATTAGGTCAGCATTCAGTAAGATAGTAGTGATTGCATTAACACTTGGTCTAGTGCTGACCACTTGGTCTAGTGCTGACCACTTGGTCTAGTGCTGACCACTTGGTCTAGTGCTGACCACTTGATCTAGTGCTGACCTTTTGGTCTAGTGCTGACCACTTGGTCTAGTGCTGACCACTTGGTCTAGTGCTGACCACTTGGTCTAGTGCTGACCACTTGGTCTAGTGCTGACTGTTGTCTATGTAAACATCATGAAAGACCTTGTGAAGACTATGTAAACATCATGAAAGACCTTGTGAAGACTATGTAAACATCATGAAAGACCTTGTGAAATCTATGTAAACATCATGAAAGACCTTGTGAAATCTATGTAAACATCATGAAAGACCTTGTGAAATCTATGTAAACATCATGAAAGACCTTGTGAAATCTATGTAAACATCATGAAAGACCTTGTGAAGTCTATGTAAACAACATGAAAGACCTTGTGAAGACTATGTAAACATCATGAAAGACCTTGTGAAGTGAACCAAAAACCTACCACCAGCAAAGCTTGACGCGTCATCTACTGTTGCCTCTGCCATGGACGATGAACCGTTGGCCAAGTCAACGAAAGCCCCAGCTGCTGAGGACTGTGACAAGGTCAAATGTTAGTGGGCGTGGCATAGTGAAATGTGACAAGGTCAAGTGTTAGTGGGCGTGGCATAGTGAAATGTGACAAGGTCAAATGTTAGTGGGCGTGGCATAGTGAAATGTGACAAGGTCAAGTGTTAGTGGGCATGGCATAGTGAAATGTGACAAGGTCAAATGTTAGTGGGCGTGGCATAGTGAAATGTGACAAGGTCAAGTGTTAGTGGGTGTGGCATAGTGAAATGTGACAAGGTCAAGTGTTAGTGGGCGTGGCATAGTGATATGTGACAAGGTCAAATGTTAGTGGGCGTGGCATAGTGAAATCTGACAAGGTCAAGTGTTAGTGGGCGTGGCATAGTGAAATGTAACAAGGTCAAGTGTTAGTGGGCGTGGCATAGTGAAATGTGACAAGGTCAAATGTTAGTGGGCGTGGCATAGTGAAATCTGACAAGGTCAAGTGTTAGTGGGCGTGGCATAGTGAAATGTAACAAGGTCAAGTGTTAGTGGGCGTGGCATAGTGAAATGTGACAAGGTCAAATGTTAGTGGGCGTGGCATCGTGAAATGTGTCAAGGTCAAATGCTAGTGGGCGTGGTATAGTGAAATGTGACAAGTTCAAGTGTTAGTGGGCATGGCATAGTGAAATGTGACAAGGTCAAATGTTAGTGGGCGTGGCATAGTGAAATGTGACAAGGTCAAGTGTTAGTGGGCATGGCATAGTGAAATGTGACAAAGTCAAATGTTAGTGGAGACAACGGACACTACGACAGACGGAGACAACAATTGACGGACACAATAATTGACGGACACAACAATTGACTGACACAACAATTGACGGACACAACAATTGACGGACCTAACAATTGACGGACACAACGACAGACGGACACAACAATTGAAGGACACAACGATGAACGGACACGAGACGTACTCTGGAGCCCTCACTGACGATGTCCTTGTTGCTTGTCATGGTCTTGATGGCTGAGGCGCACTTGGCCGCCTGACTGGGACTGTCGATTCTCTTGGCCACAGACCCCAATGTGTTGACCACCGCTTCTGTAGACTAGTGGGAAAAACACCAGAAGATCATTGGTAGCTAACAACGGCACCAAACGTTGATAAAATACATCAAGTTAACAAAAGTTGATAAAATACATCAAGTTAACAAAAGTTGATAAAATACATCAAGTTAACAAAAGTTGATAAAATACATCAAGTTAACAAAAGTTGATAAAATACATCAAGTTAACAAAAGTTGATAAAATACATCAAGTTAACAAAAGTTGATAAAATAGACAACGATAACAAAAGTTGATAAAATACATCAAGTTAACAACGATACCAAAAGTTGATAAATTACTTACCGCCGCTAATTTTTCCTGCGCCTCCGCCGATGAAGTCTGTAAAACATTTGACATGAGTCAGCAATAGCTAATCTATTTGTGGGTGAATCTATTTGTTAAGTGGGTGAATCTATTTGAAAAGTGGGGGAATCTATTTGTAAAGTGGGGGAAATCTATTTGTAAAGTGGGGGAATCTATTTGCAAAGTGGGGGAATCTATTTGTTAAGTGAGTGAATCTATTGCTAAAGTGGGGAAATCTATTTGTAAAGCGGGCGAATCTATTTGTAAAGTGGGGAAATCTATTTGTAAAGTGGGGGAATCTATTTGTAAAGGTGGCGAATCGATTTGTAAAGTGGGGGAATCTATTTGTTAATTGAGTGAATCTATTTGTAAAGTGGGGGAATCTATTGGTAAAGTGGGCGAATCTATTTGTAAAGCGGGTGAATCTATTTGTAAAGCGGGTGAATCTATTTGTAAAGTGGGGGAATCTATTTGTAAAGTGGGGGAATCTATTTGTAAAGTGGGGGAATCTATTTGTAAAGTGGGGGAATCTATTTGTAAAGTGGGGGAATCTATTTATAAAGTGGGGAATCTATTTGTAAAGTGGGGGAATCTATTTGTAAAGTTGTGAGGTTTGTAATAAAGTAGCAAGGGATGGGGGAGAGACAGACAATAAGATTGGGGGGGGGAGAGACAAATTCGAAATTCAATGGTTTTCGTATGGTTAGTGTATAACTGATATATGTCTAGTGTATGGCTGATGTATGGCTTGTGTATGCTGGTGTATGGCTGGTGTATGGCTGGTGTATGGCATGGCTGGTGTATGGCTGGTGTATTGCTGGTGTATGGCTGGTGTATGGCTGGTGTATGGCTTGTGTATGGCTTGTGTATGGCTGGTGTATGGCTGGTGTATGGCTTGTGTATGGCTGGTGTATGGCTGGTGTATGGCTGGTGTATGGCTGGTGTATGGCTTGTGTATGGCTGGTGTATGGCTTGTGTATGGCTGGTGTATGGCTGGTGTATGGCTGGTGTATGGCTTGTGTATGGCTGGTGTATGGCTGGTGTATGGCTGGTGTATGGCTGGTGTATGGCTGGTGTATGGCTGGTGTATGGCATGGCTGGTGTATGGCTGATGTATGGCTGATGTATGGCTGATGTATGGCTGATGTATGGCTGATGTATGGCTGGTGTATGGCTGGTGTATGGCTGGTGTATGGCTGGTGTATGGCTTGTGTATGGCATGGCTAGTGTATGGCTGGTGTATGGCTTGTGTATGGCTTGTGTATGGCTGGTGTATGGCTGGTGTATGGCTTGTGTATGGCTGGTGTATGGCTTGTGTATAGCTGGTGTATGGCTGGTGTATGGCTTGTGTATGGCATGGCTAATGTATGGCTGGTGTATGGCTGGTGTATTGCTGGTGTATCACTGGTGTTTGACATGGCTGGTGTATGGCTGATGTATGGCTGGTGTATGGCTGGTGTATGGCTTGTGTATGGCATGGCTAGTGTATGGCTGGTGTATGGCTGGTGTATGTCTGGTGTATCACTGGTGTTTGACATGGCTGGTGTATGGCTGATGTATGGCTGGTGTATGTCTGGTGTATCACTGGTGTTTGACATGGCTGGTGTATGGCTGGTGTATGGCTGGTGTATTGCTGGTGTATCACTGGTGTTTGACATGGCTGGTGTATGGCTGGTGTATGGCTGGTGTATGGCTGTATGTACGTACATCTTGTGTGAGTATGGTGTATGGTTGGTGTATGGCTGTATGTACGTACATCTTGTGTATGGCTGGTGTATGGCTGTATGTACGTACATCTTGTGTATGGCTGGTGTATGGCTGGTGTATGGCTGTATGTACGTACATCTTGTGTATGGCTGGTGTATGGCTGGTGTATGGCTGGTGTATGGCTGTATGTATGGCTGTATGTACGTACATCTTGTGTGAGTATAGCACTTGCCGCCCCACCAAGCAGTCGTATGGCTGTATCGGGGTCAGCGTTCTTAGCCAGGTCAAGGAGAGAGCCAAGGTCATCCAGGCTCATGTTGCTAGAGCGGACCTCGACGATTTGGTAGATCATCGCGGACAGGTCATTCCGCTCGGCCCATAGAACGACAGCAAACGAGAACTGACTGGAATCAAAATTGTTGGCAGCAAAGCTGATTCTACCGCCAAAAACGGAGAGGTCGTCTAGCAGTTCTGATGTGCTGTTGAAACATCCAGCACGCTGGTACAGGCCGAGGTAGTTGGAGCTTGACGTGCGGAAGATGGTCCGGTTGGTTATGAGTTCAGAAGAGCCAATCGTCTGCTCCAGTGTCAGCCTCTGAACGCTCTTCAGCTCACCCTCGGGCATGAAGAACAAATGGAAGGATAAAGCACGCCGGCGGTCAATGTCAAGGTCAGGGTCGTACGAACCGGAAATATCAAAGATGGCTGTTCCATACGTCATGATGGTGCGTACAGGATCGCCGTCAAGTACGGGAACTGGCTCAGATTGAATGACCTTGACCCAGATTTGAGCAGACGTGTAAAGAAGGTCATCGACTGCTGGGGACACGGTCACAGTTAGAGCGTACAACCCGAATGGCAGAGTCAAGGGTTCGATCCTCAGGGTGGGGTTCATCAGCCTAAACCCACAAAACGTGTCTATGCTTCTTAGGGTACGATCTCCACTGGCGTCAGACAGGGCTGCGGCCGTCCAGGAGAACGTCATGTTTAATTTCACGGGGCAGTCGTGCGTGACATCCACTGTCAACGTGTTTTGTGTTGACCTCCTTAAGGTCACAGGCTTCTCCCAGCTCGACACAGCATTGCGGAAAGAGACGGAAGGGGCGGGGCACGAGGAAACGGTTGGCTGTCCCACGACTATGGTTGGACACAGCTCGGCTTTCATGGCGCCGAACTCATTGGAAGCTGTAACCTTGACCTTGTAATAGCCTGGTCGGGTGTACACGTGCGTGATGACGGCCGATGTGTCGGTCATGGCCTTGACATTGCTTTGTGAGGATATGTCTGCTGGTCGCTGCTCGCCCACTGAGAACTGTGTCCCGTCCCCAAACTCCACGGTGTAGAGAACGTTGGAGCCGGTGGGGCAGAGGACGGTCAACTCGAGCTGGGAGCCATAGGTGATCCTCTCCCCGGGGGTGGAGATGTCGAGGTAGCTGATGTTCTGGCCCACCTGGACGGTCACGTGTTCCTCCGTCTGGCTGACGTTGTTGGCCGCCAGAACCCTGACGCCGTAGATGCCCCAGCTGCTGTAGCTGTGTTGCACTTGGATGGGTTCGAACCCCGCCGTCGACTGACTGTGGTATACAACCGTTTGACGCGAGCCGTCACCAAAATTGAAAGTAAAGTTGACAGTTCGCGGCCCAATGAGCCCAGGGTTGATGCTGACTTGGAAAAGAGCCGGCTGAGTCAGAGATGTGACGTTGTAGGTTTCCACGCTCATCTCTGTGATGGGGACCTCCACAGAGAGATCGGCTCGAGCACTGGCCTCTCCCAGTTCGTTGCTGACAGTGGCGGTGAGAGTGTACACACCCAGAGCGCCAAAGTACACCAACTCGTCCACCTGTACTGACGAGTTTAGGCCTGGCGTGTACAGGTACTTGCCCTCTTTGCCCTGCCCAAAGTCGAGCGTCAACCACAGATGGTCATTGACCTCTACAAGAAATCTCACCTGGACGGTGAGGTTCCAGGTGCCGGCAGTCTTGTCTGTTTTGATGAGCGGTTTCATTGGTACTTTTCTCACCGCTAACACACGCCGGTCCATTAGGGTATTCTCTGCTACCATAGTAACGACATTATCTACGCCCTGCTCCAAATAATCGTTATCGACACTGGCAACTCCTGCATCACTGACGTCATAGGCAACGGCTGATCCGTTGACCTTAAAAACCAAGTTCTTATAAAAGAGGGGGTCGCCAAATGTCGGCATGGTCAAACTTTGCAGGTTTGTGATGTAGCTGTATGACGTCATAGCCTGTCTGGCTAAAAACCTTACCAGAGTTGACTGGTTGCCGTACCTATTGCTGCAGTACGCCCGCACGCTGTAAGCACCGCTCACACGATACGCGTGCTGCACGCTGATGCTGGAGCCGTACGTCACAAAAGTATAGGCGGGAGACTCGTCTCCGTTGCCGAAAGACAAAACACAAGTGCTGGTCTGGGGGTCCATAATGGTCAGAGCACATATAGCGGTCAAGGTCGCAGGACTCGAGCTAACAGTTAAGCCAACGACTTGTGGAGGTTGACCTTCGTCCACACTGTCCACACTGACGACCGTCCTGTTTGTCAGTGTCAGGGTTCCTATTTGAGTGCTGACTGTGACGACGTGGAGACCAGCCTGTGAGAAGCTGTAGCTGACAGGCATAGACGTAGTTGTCATGACTGTCCCGTCATCAAAGGTAAGTTTATAAACGGGGTTCAGCCCGGAGCCAACCACGGGGTTCAGCCCGGAGCCAACCACAGCCATGCAGCTCAGCTCCTCCCCGGGCCTCGTGTAGCCTCTAGTGCTCAGCGTCTTGCAGTCCAGCGACAGCGTCAGGGGCGTGGCTAGCCGCACGCGACTCACCAGATACACCGCCCACTTCCCCTCACACGCAGAAGCCGGAACTAGCCCGGATGTGCTGTTGGAGCATGCGCACGTGGTGCCGTTGATGAGAGCAGCGGTACTGGCCGCAACCTGACACAGCTGCCTGCAGGCCAGCAGAAGATCGGCGCCGCTCCTGCCACTTAAAGACGTGACCGTCTCATTGCCGGCCACAGGCAGACATCCTTGGAACAACTGCTGGCTCAAATCTGAAAGCAGAAACGGTTAGATCAACATTTGTACACACATTTTCTTGTGTATATATGGGTTAGGGTTAGATCAACATTTGTACACACATTTTCTTGTGGATATATGGGTTAGGGTTAGATCAACATTTGTACACACATTTTCTTGTGGATATATGGGTTAGGGTTAGATCAACATTTGTACAGACATTTTCTTGTGTATATGGGTTAGAGTTAGATCAACATTTGTACAGACATTTTCTTGTGTATATGGGTTAGATCAACATTTGTACACACATTTTCTTGTGGATATATGGGTTAGAGTTAGATCAACATTTGTACACACATTTTCTTGTGTATATGGGTTAGATCAACATTTGTACACACATTTTCTTGTGGATATATGGGTTAGGGTTAGATCAACATTTGTACAGACATTTTCTTATTGTCGTTATAAACGAACGAAACGTGTTGTAAAAGTTTTGTAAAATGAAGTGTTGCAAAAGTTTTGTAAAATGAAGTGTTGTAAAAGTTTTGTAAAATGTAGTGTTGTAAAAGTTTTGTAAAATGTAGTGTTGTAAAAGTTTTGTAAAATGAAGTGTTGTAAAAGTTTTGTAAAATGAAGTGTTGTAAAAGTTTTGTGAAATGTAGTGTTGTAAAAGTTTTGTAAAATGAAGAGTTTTCAAAGTGCTCGACGTTATGCTTAATGTCTTGAATCTTGATATCTTTTTTCGTGGAAATACATAAACTTATTGAATGAATGAGTTGAATGAATGAGTTGAATGAATGAGTTGAATGAATGAATTGAATGAATGAGTTGAATGAATGAGTTGAATGAATAAGTTGAATGAATGAGTTGAATGAATGAGTTGAATGAATGAGTTGAATGAATAAAAATGAATGAATACGTTGAATGAATACGTTGAATGAATGAGTTGAATGAATGAGTTGAATGAATGAATTGAATGAATGAGTTGAATGAATGAGTTGAATGAATAAGTTGAATGAATGAGTTGAATGAATGAGTTGAATGAATGAAATGAATGAATACGTTGAATGAATACGTTGAATGAATGAGTTGAATGAATGAGTTGAATGAATGAATTGAATGAATGAGTTGAATGAATGAGTTGAATGAATGAGTTGAATGAATGAATTGAATGAATGAGTTGAATGAATGAGTTGAATGAATGAGTTGTATGAATGAGTTGAATGAATGAATTGAATGAATGAATTGAATGAATGAGTTGAATGAATGAGTTGAATGAATGAATTGAATGAATGAGTTGAATGAATGGGTTGAATAAATGAGTTGAATGAATGAGTTGAATGAATGAATTGAATGAATGAGTTGAATGAATGAGTTGAATGAATGAGTTGAATGAATGAATTGAATGAATGAGTTGAATGAATGAATTGAATGAATGAATTGAATGAATGAGTTGAATGATTGAGTTGAATGAATGAATTGAATGAATGAGTTGAATGAATGAGTTGAATGAATGAGTTGAATGAGTGAGTTGAATGAATGGGTAAACCTACTGTTGTTCTGTGTGAGGTAAGAGCTGGTTCTATTGTCTAGCACGGTGACGTCACTCACGCTGAATGTGCACGTGCCTGTCACTGGCTCGTCGTTCTCTGACGTGCCGACAGTCAAGGCACCAGCTGACTGGAAGACTTGACCAACAGCTCGGACCTCAGGAGCTGAGATCTCCGCCTACAGATAGAGGGGCTTTATATTTACATCCAGGGTATACTACAGATAGAGGGGCTTTATATTTACATCCAGGGTATACTACAGATAGAGGGGCTTTATATTTACATCCAGGGTATACTACAGATAGAGGGGCTTTATGTTTACATCCAGGTTATACTACAGATAGAGGGGCTTTATGTTTACATCCAGGGTATACTACAGATAGAGGGGCTTTATGTTTACATCCAGGGTATACTACAGATAGAGGGGCTTTATATTTACATCCAGGGTATACTACAGATAGAGGGGCTTTATGTTTACATCCAGGGTATACTACAGATAGAGGGGCTTTATATTTACATCCAGGGTATACTACAGATAGAGGGGCTTTATGTTTACATCCAGGGTATTCTACAGATAGAGGGGCTTTATGTTTACATCCAGGGTATACTACAGATAGAGGGGCTTTATATTTACATCCAGGGTATACTACAGATAGAGGGGCTTTATGTTTACATCCAGGGTATACTACAGATAGAGGGGCTTTATGTATACATCCAGGGTATACTACAGATCCAGGGTAGCTGTTGCTTGTATTAGTGTTCAAATAACAGAGATGAACAATTGTTGTAGGAACCAGTGTGTTGTAGGAACCAGTGTGTTGTAGGAACCAGTGTGTTGTGTTGTAGGAACCAGTGTGTTGTGTTGTAGGAACCAGTGTGTTGTGTTGTAGAAACCAGTGTGTTGTGTTGTAGGAACCAGTGTGTTGTAGGAACCAGTGTGTTGTAGGAACCAGTGTGTTGTGTTGTAGGAACCAGTGTGTTGTAGGAACCAGTGTGTTGTAGAAACCAGTGTGTTGTGTTGTAGGAACTAGTGTGTTGTAGGAACCAGTGTGTTGTAGGAACCAGTGTGTTGTAGGAACCAGTGTGTTGTAGGAACCAGTGTGTTTTGTTGTAGGAACCAGTGTGTTGTAGGAACCAGTGTGTTGTGTTGTAGGAACCAGTGTGTTGTGTTGTAGGAACCAGTGTGTTGTAGGAACCAGTGTGTTGTGTTGTAGGAACCAGTGTGTTGTAGGAACCAGTGTGTTGTGTTGTAGGAACCAGTGTGTTGTGTTGTAGGAACCAGTGTGTTGTAGGAACCAGTGTGTTGTGTTGTAGGAACCAGTGTGTTGTAGGAACCAGTGTGTTGTGTTGTAGGAACCAGTGTGTTGTAGGAACCAGTGTGTTGTAGGAACCAGTGTGTTGTAGGAACCAGTGTGTTGTGTTGTAGGAACCAGTGTGTTGTGTTGTAGGAACCAGTGTGTTGTAGGAACCAGTGTGTTGTAGGAACCAGTGTGTTGTAGGAACCAGTGTGTTGTAGGAACCAGTGTGTTGTAGGAACCAGTGTGTTGTGTTGTAGGAACCAGTGTGTTGTGTTGTAGGAACCAGTGTGTTGTGTTGTAGGAACCAGTGTGTTGTAGGAACCAGTGTGTTGTAGGAACCAGTGTGTTGTAGGAACCAGTGTGTTGTGTTGTAGGAACCAGTGTGTTGTGTTGTAGGAACCAGTGTGTTGTGTTGTAGGAACCAGTGTGTTGTAGGAACCAGTGTGTTGTAGGAAAAGTGTGTTGTGTTGTAGGAACCAGTGTGTTGTAGGAACCAGTGTGTTGTGTTGTAGGAACCAGTGTGTTGTAGGAACCAGTGTGTTGTAGGAACCAGTGTGTTGTGTTGTAGGAACCAGTGTGTTGTAGGAACCAGTGTGTTGTGTTGTAGGAACCAGTGTGTTGTGTTGTAGGAACCAGTGTGTTGTAGGAACCAGTGTGTTGTGTTGTAGGAACCAGTGTGTTGTGTTGTAGGAACCAGTGTGTTGTAGGAACCAGTGTGTTGTGTTGTAGGAACCAGTGTGTTGTGTTGTAGGAACCAGTGTGTTGTAGGAACCAGTGTGTTGTAGGAACCAGTGTGTTGTAGGAACCAGTGTGTTGTGTTGTAGGAACCAGTGTGTTGTAGGAACCAGTGTGTTGTAGGAACCAGTGTGTTGTGTTGTAGGAACCAGTGTGTTGTGTTGTAGGAACCAGTGTGTTGTGTTGTAGGAACCAGTGTGTTGTAGGAACCAGTGTGTTGTAGGAACCAGTGTGTTGTAGGAACCAGTGTGTTGTAGGAACCAGTGTGTTGTAGGAACCAGTGTGTTGTGTTGTAGGAACTAGTGTGTTGTAGGAACCAGTGTGTTGTATTGTAGGAACCAGTGTGTTGTGTTGTAGGAACCAGTGTGTTGTAGGAACCAGTGTGTTGTGTTGTAGGAACCAGTGTGTTGTGTTGTAGGAACCAATGTGTTGTAGGAACCAGTGTGTTGTAGGAACCAGTGTGTTGTGTTGTAGGAACCAGTGTGTTGTGTTGTAGGAACCAGTGTGTTGTGTTGTAGGAACCAGTGTGTTGTAGGAACCAGTGTGTTGTGTTGTAGGAACCAGTGTGTTGTGTTGTAGGAACCAGTGTGTTGTAGGAACCAGTGTGTTGTGTTGTAGGAACCAGTGTGTTGTAGGAACCAGTGTGTTGTAGGAACCAGTGTGTTGTGTTGTAGGAACCAGTGTGTTGTAGGAACCAGTGTGTTGTAGGAACCAGTGTGTTGTAGGAACCAGTGTGTTGTGTTGTAGGAACCAGTGTGTTGTGTTGTAGGAACCAGTGTGTTGTAGGAACCAGTGTGTTGTAGGAACCAGTGTGTTGCGTTGTAGGAACCAGTGTGTTGTAGGAACCAGTGTGTTGTGTTGTAGGAACCAGTGTGTTGTGTTGTAGGAACCAGTGTGTTGTAGGAAACAGTGTGTTGTGTTGTAGGAACCAGTGTGTTGTGTTGTAGGAACCAGTGTGTTGTAGGAACCAGTGTGTTGTGTTGTAGGAACCAGTGTGTTGTAGGAACCAGTGTGTTGTGTTGTAGGAACCAGTGTGTTGTAGAAACCAGTGTGTTGTGTTGTAGGAACCAGTGTGTTGTGTTGTAGGAACCAGTGTGTTGTAGGAACCAGTGTGTTGTAGGAACCAGTGTTTTGTGTTGTAGGAACCAGTGTGTTGTAGGAACCAGTGTGTTGTGTTGTAGGAACCAGTGTGTTGTGTTGTAGGAACCAGTGTGTTGTAGGAACCAGTGTGTTGTGTTGTAGGAACCAGTGTGTTGTGTTGTAGGAACCAGTGTGTTGTAGGAACCAGTGTGTTGTGTTGTAGGAACCAGTGTGTTGTGTTGTAGGAACCAGTGTGTTGTAGGAACCAGTGTGTTGTAGGAACCAGTGTGTTGTGTTGTAGGGACCAGTGTGTTGTGTTGTAGGAACTAGTGTGTTGTGTTGTAGACTGCAAAAATTCACCTGCAACAAACCGTCAACAAAGACAGCCATGCCGCCGGCCTGGTCCCAGGTCAGCCCGAGCATTACCCAGACACCAGCCTCCAGTCGCAGTGAAAATTTCCACAGCCTCGCTCCGCTTGCTACACCCAGTGTGTACTGATCAGAGAACCGACGGGTCAGAAAAAATCTGAAATTTTCATTGTGTTAGATAAAAATCTAATCTAATTTCTTTGTGTATTTGTATTTTAGTATCGTCCTTTTCTTGATGTATTTATAAAATGTTAAGGTACGAACCTTTGTGTTGAATATGATCTCTTGTTTACTATATTGGGTGATTTGTCCAACATCCGCTATCATGTCTTAACCTTTCATGGATATTTCTAATCGGATTTTTACCAATTCAAGACGAAGAATTTTTACCAATTTAAGAAATGTCATTCCAAAAAAAAAAATATTTAAAAAAATGTAAATTCAAGGACCAAACTGATTAAGGGCATGAAGAAACTGTTTACAAATGTTTGGCAACTCAAATTACGGCCGTCCAAAAACGTAAAAGCATGTACCAATGTGGCAAACCGACCAGTTTTATTTGAACTTTTGCTCGCTTTTTATTCCTTGTGGTTTCCATTTTCTTCTTTTTTAAAACTTTATTTATTAACATTGGATTAAAACATTTTAAAACTTATGTTATTTTGAAACATGATATTTTAAATGATATCACAGAAAATTGTGTGGAAACATATCAATAGATTTTTAGCCATATATTACACGTTAAATCATTTGGCTTAAGAATAGTAACCTACAGCGGTCATTAAAGAATCAATTATTGTTGAAAATTCAATTTTCAGTAAGTTCTCACTCGACCCTCCCCCCCCCTCCCAATGAAAGCTTTAAACCGTACACAAATGATTGCCCATTGACCTAGTGATTGCCCATTGACCTACAGTTGATTGCCCATTGACATACAGTTGATTGCCCATTGACATACAGTTGATTGCCCATTGACATACAGTTGATTGCCAATTGACATACAGTTGATTGCACATTGACCTACAGTTGATTGCTTATTGACCTACAGTTGATTGTCCATTGACCTAATGATTGCCCATTGACCTACAGTTGATTGCCCATTGACCTAGAGTTGATTGCCCATTGACCTAGTGATTGACCATTGACCTAGAGTTGATTTCCCATTGACCTAGAGTTGATTGCCCATTGACCTAGTGATTTCCCATTGACCTAGTGATTGCCCATTGACCTACAGTTGATTGCCCATTGACCTAGAGTTGATTGCCCATTGACCTAGTGATTGACCATTGACCTAGAGTTGATTTCCCATTGACCTAGAGTTGATTGTCCATTGACCTAGTGATTGCCCATTGACCTAGTGATTGCCCATTGACCTACAGTTGATTGCCCATTGACCTAGAGTTGAATACTTATTGACCTAGTGATTGCCCATTAACCTAGTGATTGCCCATTGACCTAGTGATTGCCCATTGACCTAGTGATTGCCCATTGACTTAGTGATTTCCCATTGACCTAGTGATTGACCATTGACCTAGAATTGATTGACCATTGACCTAGAGTTGATTGCCCATTGACCTAGTGATTGCCCATTGACCTACAGTTGATTGCCCATTGACCTACAGTTGATTGCCCTTTGACCTAGTGATTTCCCATTGACCTAATGATTGCCCATTGACCTAGAGTTGATTTCCCATTGACCTAGTGATTGCCCATTGACCTAGTGATTGCCCATTGACCTAGTGATTGCCCATTGACCTAATGATTGCCAATTGACCTAGACTTGATTGCCCATTGACCTAGTGATTGCCCATTGACCTAGAGTTGATTGCCCATTGACCTAGAGTTGATTGCCCATTGACCTAGAGTTGATTGCCCATTGACCTAGTGATTGCCAATTGACCTAGAGATGATTTCCCATTGACCTAGAGTTGATTGCCCATTGACCTAGTGATTTCCCATTGACCTAGAGTTGATTGCCCATTGACCTAGTGATTGCCCATTGACCTAGAGTTGATTGCCCATTGACCTAGAGTTGATTGCCCATTGACCTAGAGTTGATTGCCCATTGACCTAGTGATTGCCAATTGACCTAGAGATGATTTCCCATTGACCTAGAGTTGATTGCCCATTGACCTAGTGATTTCCCATTGACCTAGAGTTGATTGCCCATTGACCTAGTGATTGCCCATTGACCTAGAGTTGATTGCCCATTGACCTAGAGTTGATTGACCATTGACCTAGTGATTGCCCATTGACCTAGAGTTGATTGCCCATTGACCTAGAGTTGATTGCCCATTGACCTAGAGTTGATTGCCCATTGACCTAGTAATTGCCCATTGACCTAGAGTTGATTGCCCATTGACCTAGTGATTGCCCATTGACCTAGAGTTGATTGCCCATTGACCTAGTGATTTCCCATTGACCTAGAGTTGATTGCCCATTGACCTAGTGATAGCCCATTGACCTATTTATTGCCCATTGACCTAGAGTTGATTGCCTATTGACCTAGTGATTTCCCATTGACCTACAGTTGATTGCCCATTGACCTAGAGTTGATTTCCCATTGACCTAGTGATTGCCCATTGACCTAGAGTTGATTGACCATTGACCTAGAGTTGATTGCCCATTGACCTAGTGATTGCCTATTGACCTAGTGATTACCCATTGACCTAGTGATTGCCCATTGACCTAGTGATTTCCCATTGACCTAGTGATTGTCCATTGACCTAGAGTTGATTGACCATTGACCTAGTGATTGCCCATTGACTTAGAGTTGATTGACCATTTACCTAGTGATTGCCCATTGACCTAGAGATGATTGCCTATTGACCTAGTGATTGCCCATTGACCTAGTGATTGCCCATTGACCTAGAGATGATTGCCTATTGACCTAGTGATTGCCCATTGACCTAGTGATTGTCCATTGACCTAGAGTTGATTGTCCATTGACCTAGAGTTGATTGCCCATTGACCTAGAGATGATTGCCTATTGACCTAGTGGTTGCCCATTGACCTAGTGATGGCCCATTGACCTAGATTGTATTGCCCATTGACCTAGAGCTGGTTTAAATCCAAGCTGGATGTAACCTTTCCTTCTCTAGAGTTAAAAAGTTGACGTCATCATCTCCCCTCCCCCAACTCCTAATCGGAATAGTTCATTAGTACTTTCAAAAGTATTACATTTTATTAATAGTTCATTGAACTATATACTTTTCTAGGGAAAAAAGTCACAGAAAAAAGTCACAAAAGAAAAATTTATCGGAAAGAAGTCACATAAATAAAGTCACAGAAAAATTATTCATTGTTCTGAAATTTTCTGTGTTCTGAATGTTCTGAAATATTCTGAAAAGTTTTGAAAAGTTCTGAACTGTTCTGAAATGTTCTAAAATGTTCTGAAATATTCTGAAATGTTCTGAAAAGTTCTGAAATGTTCTGAAAAGTTCTGAAATGTTCTAAATATTCTGAAATGTTCTGAAATATTCTGAAATGTTATGAAATGCTCTGAAATGTTATCAAATGTTATAAAAATGTTCTGTTTTAAAGTCAGCTCACCCATCGCTGTTTGCACTGTGTCCTCCTGTGGTGAGAATGACGTCAGCCTGCCTAGTGTAGGAGACGTCTGACGCTGATTTGATCCAGGCCGCTACAGTCAGACCCTGATGGCAGCGACTCAGATTTCCCAGACACCACTGGGGGTAGACGCCCAGACTGGCGTAGCACCCTGATGGTGTGGCGGACACCAGGTACTGTGACGTCACACTATCGTAATACGTCAGCCTGATGTTTTCACACGCCACCTGAGCAACTAAAACGGTAACATTCCACAATTGCTTTTTCTCTCTCGAATGCAGAGTATAGAGAATATATTGTAATTGTGCAAAAATAAAAATCGAGATTTTTGCAATCCTCGACGTTTTACACCTCATTGAGTAGGAAAAACATAATTTTGCAATATTGTCCGTATGTCTGTGTGTGTGTGTATGTGTGTCTGTATGTATGTGTGTCTGTAAGCACGATAACTTGAGTACCGTTACAGCTAGGTTGAGGAAATTTCATATATTAGTATTATATCAAATTTGTAGATTCGTTTCAACTTTTCAGCCATTTCCGATAACAGGAAGTGGAACTTTTTCTACTTTAAATTTTTCAAAAGCCTATAACTTGAGTACTATTTCAGATAGATAAATAAAATTTCATATGTAAGTAAAAGATCTAATTTTCTGCCTTTCATCAAATTTTGAGTAATTTCCGTTGTGTTTGTATTTGTCTTTGCGTTTGTGATTGCGTTTGCGTTGGGTTTGTGTTTTTGTTTGCGTTTGTTTTCCTTTGTATTTGTATTGGGTTTTTTCCGTTAGTACATTTTTAAAAGATTTACCGTGGCGAAGCACGGGTATGCAGCTAGTATATATATAAAGGTCATAAATTTTTTGCAGTTGAGATTTGTGTAAATCTCGATTTTGATTTTTGCACAATTAAAATACTTCCTCTATACTTTGTGTAATAAAAATTAAAAAGTACTGTAGGATTTAAAGAATTAAAGGAAAGAAAATAGAGTTATGTAAAAAATATTTGAGCTTACCAATAAAAGCCAAAAGTAACGACCGAATGCTAACATCCAAACCCATCGAAACGTTGTAAACTTGACGCTATGGGCGGCTGTTGGGTGAGATAGTGCTACCTGTCATCTAGAAAAACAAAAAACTTGACGTGATGGGCGGCTGTTGAAATTGGGGGAGCTAGTGCTACCTGTCATCTAGAAAAACAAAAAACTTGACGCTATGGGCGGCTGTTGGGTGAGATAGTGCTACCTGTCATCTAGAAAAACAAAAAACTTGACGCTATGGGCGGCTGTTGGGTGAGATAGTGCTACCTGTCATCTAGAAAAACAAAAAACTTGACGCTATGGGCGGCTGTTGGGTGAGCTAGTGCTACCTGTCATCTAGAAAAACAAAAAATTTGACGTGATGGGCGGCTGTTGAAATTGGGTGAGCTAGTGCTACCTGTCATCTAGAAAAACAAAAAACTTGACGCTATGGGCGGCTGTTGAAATTGGGTGAGCTAGTGCTACCTGTCATCTAGAAAAACAAAAAACTTGACGCTATGGGCGGCTGTTGAAATTGGGTGAGCTAGTGCTACCTGTCATCTAGAAAAACAAAAAACTTGACGCTATGGGCGGCTGTTGAAATTGGGTGAGCTAGTGCTACCTGTCATCTAGAAAAACAAAAAACTTGACGCTATGGGCGGCTGTTGAAATTGGGGGAGCTAGTGCTACCTGTCATCTAGAAAAACAAAAAACTTGACGCTATGGGCGGCTGTTGAAATTGGGTGAGATAGTGCTACCTGTCATCTAGAAAAACAAAAAACTTGACGCTATGGGCGGCTGTTGAAATTGGGGGAGCTAGTGCTACCTGTCATCTAGAAAAACAAAAAACTTGACGCTATGGGCGGCTGTTGGGTGAGCTAGTGCTACCTGTCATCTAGAAAAACAAAAAACTTGACGCTATGGGCGGCTGTTGAAATTGGGGGAGATAGTGCTACCTGTCATCTAGAAAAACAAAAAACTTGACGCTATGGGCGGCTGTTGAAATTGGGGGAGATAGTGCTACCTGTCATCTAGAAAAACAAAAAACTTGACGCTATGGGCGGCTGTTGGGTGAGCTAGTGCTACCTGTCATCTAGAAAAACAAAAAACTTGACGCTATGGGCGGCTGTTGAAATGGGGGGAGCTAGTGCTACCTGTCATCTAGAAAAACAAAAAACTTGACGCTATGGGCGGCTGTTGAAATTGGGTGAGATAGTGCTACCTGTCATCTAGAAAAACAAAAAACTTGACGCTATGGGCGGCTGTTGAAATTGGGGGAGCTAGTGCTACCTGTCATCTAGAAAAACAAAAAACTTGACGCTATGGGCGGCTGTTGGGTGAGCTAGTGCTACCTGTCATCTAGAAAAACATGTAAACTTGACGCTATGGGCGGCTGTTGAAATTGGGTGAGATAGTGCTACCTGTCATCTAGAAGAACAAAAAACTTGACGCTATGGGCGGCTGTTGAAATTGGGTAAGCTAGTGCTACCTGTCATCTAGAAAAACAAAAAACTTGACGCTATGGGCGGCTGTTGAAATTGGGTGAGATAGTGCTACCTGTCATCTAGAAAAACAAAAAACTTGACGCTATGGGCGGCTGTTGAAATTGGGTGAGCTAGTGCTACCTGTCATCTAGAAAAACAAAAAACTTGACGCTATGGGCGGCTGTTGAAATTGGGTGAGCTAGTGCTACCTGTCATCTAGAAAAACAAAAAACTTGACGCTATGGGCGGCTGTTGAAATTGGGGGAGCTAGTGCTACCTGTCATCTAGAAAAACAAAAAACTTGACGCTATGGGCGGCTGTTGAAATTGGGTGAGATAGTGCTACCTGTCATCTAGAAAAACAAAAAACTTGACGCTATGGGCGGCTGTTGAAATTGGGGGAGCTAGTGCTACCTGTCATCTAGAAAAACAAAAAACTTGACGCTATGGGCGGCTGTTGGGTGAGCTAGTGCTACCTGTCATCTAGAAAAACAAAAAACTTGACGCTATGGGCGGCTGTTGAAATTGGGTGAGATAGTGCTACCTGTCATCTAGAAAAACAAAAAACTTGACGCTATGGGCGGCTGTTGAAATTGGGTGAGATAGTGCTACCTGTCATCTAGAAAAACAAAAAACTTGACGCTATGGGCGGCTGTTGAAATTGGGGGAGCTAGTGCTACCTGTCATCTAGAAAAACAAAAAACTTGACGCTATGGGCGGCTGTTGGGTGAGCTAGTGCTACCTGTCATCTAGAAAAACATGTAAACTTGACGCTATGGGCGGCTGTTGAAATTGGGTGAGATAGTGCTACCTGTCATCTAGAAAAACAAAAAACTTGACGCTATGGGCGGCTGTTGGGTGAGCTAGTGCTACCTGTCATCTAGAAAAACATGTAAACTTGACGCTATGGGCGGCTGTTGAAATTGGGTGAGATAGTGCTACCTGTCATCTAGAAAAACAAAAAACTTGACGCTATGGGCGGCTGTTGAAATTGGGTAAGCTAGTGCTACCTGTCATCTAGAAAAACAAAAAACTTGACGCTATGGGCGGCTGTTGAAATTGGGTGAGATAGTGCTACCTGTCATCTAGAAAAACAAAAAACTTGACGCTATGGGCGGCTGTTGAAATTGGGGGAGCTAGTGCTACCTGTCATCTAGAAAAACAAAAAACTTGACGCTATGGGCGGCTGTTGGGTGAGCTAGTGCTACCTGTCATCTAGAAAAACAAAAAACTTGACGCTATGGGCGGCTGTTGGGTGAGCTAGTGCTACCTGTCATCTAGAAAAACAAAAAACTTGACGCTATGGGCGGCTGTTGAAATTGGGTGAGATAGTGCTACCTGTCATCTAGAAAAACAAAAAACTTGACGCTATGGGCGGCTGTTGAAATTGGGTGAGATAGTGCTACCTGTCATCTAGAAAAACAAAAAACTTGACGCTATGGGCGGCTGTTGAAATTGGGGGAGCTAGTGCTACCTGTCATCTAGAAAAACAAAAAACTTGACGCTATGGGCGGCTGTTGGGTGAGCTAGTGCTACCTGTCATCTAGAAAAACATGTAAACTTGACGCTATGGGCGGCTGTTGAAATTGGGTGAGATAGTGCTACCTGTCATCTAGAAAAACAAAAAACTTGACGCTATGGGCGGCTGTTGGGTGAGCTAGTGCTACCTGTCATCTAGAAAAACATGTAAACTTGACGCTATGGGCGGCTGTTGAAATTGGGTGAGATAGTGCTACCTGTCATCTAGAAAAACAAAAAACTTGACGCTATGGGCGGCTGTTGAAATTGGGTAAGCTAGTGCTACCTGTCATCTAGAAAAACAAAAAACTTGACGCTATGGGCGGCTGTTGAAATTGGGTGAGATAGTGCTACCTGTCATCTAGAAAAACAAAAAACTTGACGCTATGGGCGGCTGTTGAAATTGGGTGAGATAGTGCTACATGTCATCTAGAAAAACAAAAAACAAGCCTTTTGTTTTAAAGAAATTTTAAATAACTTTTCTATAATCATTAAAAATAGAGATTAAACAATGTTAACAAGGAAGCATGGGCACTTTTTACATGCGTAAGTAAAGCGAATCAAACTTACTAGATCTAAGGTGGGTCTAGTTTACTTCATATAACGTGGGTCTAGTTTACTTGATATAACGTGGGCCTAGTTTACTTGAAATAATGTGGGTTTTGTATTGAAAATGTGTCTAGCTTAAGTGAAATAACTTGGTCGAACTTATCAGATATTTGTGGTTCTAAATTTGTCGATAACCTATACACCTATAATCTTAGTCTAATCTAAGAATTTCTCTAGTCAACTTTATGTATGCAAAAATATAAAACGTGGTTATTACCTTAATCCTTGTGTGCAAATATTTGACTACAATTCTTCAATTACTGCCCACCAATGTGATCGTGCACTGATGCGTGCACTGAGGCGTGCACTGTGGCGTATCATCTATATTTGATCACGAGCAATCCTTGCATGTACGCACCTTCGGGAAACTTTGATACATTAATTAAAGCTTTCTATGACTATTAATGATCTCTTCTTCCTCTACTTCGTGCTTTCTATGTGTGTTTACGTCTGTATTTGCGGAAATAAAATGTGGTTATTTTATTTCAAACATAGACAGACAGACAGACAGACAGACAGATATATCCACGCACACATCCTCACACACACAAACAGGCAAACAGTCACAATTGCAAAGTCCAGTTTTTTCAACTTGATTATGCATAAAACTCCGAGATTTTAATAAATCTGGATTTATAAATTTTGCCCGATTAAAATAAGTCCCTATTCTCCGTGTATGTTGAAGAACTGAGGTGTTAAACGGTGAAAACTCAAAATTTCATGTGTTTTTTGCTCATTATTACAATTCTTCCTGTACACTCATATGATTTTTACCCATTATTACAACACTTCCTGTACACACTGTATACAAGATTGTAAAAAGGCAGGCGTATGTAGAAAAAAGATGTCTGCTGAGTTTGATCTAAGTAGATGACGTCAACAGCAGGTGATAAAAGATGAAAGATTGAGCAGGTAGGGTGGCGAACACCCTACGTCACGCAAACACGTCATCAAAGATTCATGTCCTCATCTCCTGGGGCATTTTGGTATGTGGGTGAAGTAAAACATGGGCGGGGGGGGGGGGGGGGATGGACTGCTACGGTTGGTGGTCGAGTGGAGAAAGGAGGGGATTGGACAGATTTTCATTTTAAAAATTAGCACAAAGCGATTTTTTAAATAGGCAAATTGTGTATAGAACACGCCTTGAAAAACGTCATTTGATAATTTTGCTGCACTGGACGGATAGCGTGAAATTGTGTCAATGTAGCAAGCCAACCAGTTGTATTTATCCGTTGCTCGCTTTTTATTGCTAATGGCTTCCATTATTCATTTTTGTCTCTCAAGTTTATTTAACTTAATTTATTCACAATGAATTAATACAATTTCAAAGTTGCGCTGTTTTGTACCACACTCTTTTAAATAGTAATTGAAAAACAAAATGTTTTCATTTAACTTATTACATAATGAAAAATATTTATGACAACGACATAAATCCATGAAAAAAGTAAACAGTGATTTAAGCCTCATATCAAACAACTTTTAATAGGAATAGAAAAATAACTCATTAAACATATGATACATCATATATAACAAATCAACTAATTAAGCACAATCAAATGTACAACTATTGTTCTACTGGTATAAGGCACACACTAACATACACACTTGTATGCTGTTGTATAATAATTTGCTCCTTCGAAAAATATGTAGATTTGTAAATTTTCAAAGTGGCTAATCCACTTTGGTTGAAGTTGTGTTTAGTGTCGCCCCTAACTTTTTGTCGAATGGCGTCAATTTCTTTATAGTAATTTAAATAGTAGTGTATAATTTATTTTCTACTTTTTAGTGCATCATTACATAAAAGCTTGTTATTAAAACGTTTTTTATGAATTTTTTTTTACAAGCTTTTATTTAACTCACTTCCTCGTCAGTCTGTCGTCAGTCTAGATCGAAACGCCGGAATGAAAATTCGGACACTTATACTTGACCGATACGGTTCACACTTGGCACGTGGGTCAAGACATGAAGACAATGCAATATGAAATTAAATTTGACTTAATTGGATGCCTAATTAATTTTTTATGAATTAATTCAAATTTGGACCGAATTAGCATGTCTATCCAACCACACCACACGCGTCATCACGTTCAATAGCTGCGCCATCACGTTCATAAGGCGCGCAATGGTTTTTAGTCATGTAACTCTATGGTAAATAAAACATGTAAAGTAGGGTAACCGGGGGTAATTCCATACACTACTTTTCAAAAAAATTTGTAAAAAATCTAAAATTAACACTACCACAATATAATATTGAGGGTATAACTAGACATGCATTACTTATATGATGGCAAACAAATATAGAGATAATTCTCAAAATAAAATAAAATTTTTAAATATTTCACTTTTATTGCAAAAACATGGCAAGTGGGGCAATTCCACACACATTATGAAAATGTTAAAATTCATGTATTTAAAAATTTGTAAAATACATTTTCCCCTTGGAAACAATTGTGCATGGGTGCAACCACTCTTCATCACTGGGTAAAGAGAAAGCCTCTATTTCTTCCTCTTGAATTCTGCTCTCATCTGTCATAGGCCAAAGTTTTTCGTTTATAATTGTGGACCATTCTGAAATAAAAACAAAATTAAATGTTAGAAAGTCTAATTACTAATGTGTGTATGGGGGTGTTTAGCTCTAAATATTGCATAAATTATAATAAATAATATAGGTACATTAAAAACAATAATAGATAAAGAAATAAAATAAGTCTGTCGCGATTTTACTTAACTTTAATAGCAGAGTCTTTTAAAAAATAAATAGTAATAGATCTCGTACTATTTAAGTATTTTTTAAGATTAAATCATGAGTTGTGAATTACAGAATTAGCCACAACCAGTTTAAATGGTTTAAAATAATAGCTAAATCCTCTAAAGAGTATAAAAAGCAACATGGGACATTCCAAAATATAGTGTATGGCAGGGGTTCCCAACCTTTTTTTACTCTAGAGCACATTCTAAAATATTGGTTGGGTGGCGGGCACCACCTATTTTAAATCGACAAACTCCTTCCATAACTTGTCATTTTCCCATAATTTAAATTCTTATTTTCTTATAGTCATAATGTATTAATAAATAATAAACAAAAAGGTTTCAAAATAATAAAATGATTTGGCATTTTTTTTTCAAATTGCATACACAAAGAAAAATGTATTTACAAAACGTAAATAGTGCAGTCTGGCTCGCCGCTAGACAAGTTTGGACAAGTATCGAACATATTTATTAAACCTAGGCAGTCAAAATAAAATTAAAACTGTAACAAATGAATAAAAATAAATCATATTTTTGAATAATGTTTATGAAAAAAATTATGTCTCTGTCAAAAAGTGAGAGGCGGGCACATACGAATCGTTCTTCGGGCGCCATGGCGCCCCCGGGCACAGGGTTGGGAACCCCTGGTGTATGGAATTGTCCTACACCATGTGTGTGGAATTACCCCACACATACTATGGAAAAAAATATGCTTTCTTGTTCTAAATTAAAGGCTGAATCTAGCATCATTAACTGTTACTATTAACAAAAATGATTAAGCTTTCATAAAATCAATAAGTAATTGACAACAATTAAAAATAAGACAAAATAAACTATTTTTTAAAAAGTGCAGGGTTTGTACTTACGTTAGGATGTTTGAAGATAGATGCAGATAAAATTAAAATTCTTGCTCTGATTGTAGGTGAACGCTTCTCCAACAGTATCGAAAAGTACAAGAAATGACCTCTTAGATACAGGGAATAGTAACTTTTAATTAAACTTTACTCCCATTAAAAACAGAGAGTATCCAGTATATAGTGTGTGGAATTACCCCAGCTTACCCTACTGAAAAAATTAAAAAAAAAAACGTTTTAATAACAAGCTTTTATGTAATAATGCACTAAAAAGTAGAAAATAAATTATAGACTACTATTTAAATAACTAGAAAGAAAAGCGTGGGTCTCTTCTTAAACATTAGTAAAAGTATCCAATAGATACTGAAGTGACCCACGCTTTCCTTTCTAGTTATTTAAATAGTAGTCTATAATTTATTTTCTACTTTTTAGTGCATTATTACATAAAAGCTTGTTATTAAATCGTTTTTTATGAATTTTTTTAGCATTTACTGTGAGAGTAGTGTTTTTTCCTCGCAGCCCAGTGGCCAAAATAAGCTCGTTACTATTTTGACTTCTGGTGACCGTAATAAGCACTACCATCAATGTTCTGTCCACACCTACCGCTATAGCTGCTTTAGTAAAAATACAAAGTGTATCAGAAAAACCCAGATCTTCATTGTGTAAGTTAATCACCTTCCGCATTGCTGATTGTTACGAAATGAGATGAGGACAGGTCGACGCTTGAATGACAACGTGCCGAGTTTGAAAGGAGTCAGTCAGAAGTGCTCAAAATCTCGCTCGCCCGTTTCCATCAATGACGACAAAAGCACGAGAAAGAAAGACGGAAAGTAAGTTATTTACTCTAAGCTTAAACTTAACGTAACTGTATCCTTAAGCCTAAATTAACCATCACTTTTAAAGCAATCAACAAAATCAGCAGTAGTTTTTAAAATAAATAAGTATTGATCTATTGGATAGCACTAAAAATTACAACTAGATAAATAAATGGCTCGTTGAGGGAGAAACACATAGGTGCTATGTTATTGGTGCTATTTTTGTCTCTAAACCGAAACCGAAAATAAAAAACCCTCCTTAACCTCAAATTTAACTTGAAACGAAAAATTTCCATGCAAGCGGAGTTTTATCCAGATTTTGCATTTTAACCGGATCCGGAAATTTAGCCGGATACGTAAATGCAGGCAGACACGGGAGAAATTAACCGGAAACAAAATTTCATTGAAAAGGGATTTTTATCCAAATGTATATTATAACTGGATCCGGAAATTTTACCTAATGGATACAGAAATGTAAGCGAAAACGAAAATTTAACAGAATACGATACTTAATTAAAAACGGAACTTTATCAGGAACCGCCATTTTTACCGAATCTGGAAATTCAACCGGTTACAGGTGACGTGGATTGTAATGACTGACGAGAAGCCGCGTTGGTTGTTAACAGTCTTTATTATGTACAGACGGCCATGTTGGTAAGAGAGAGGAAGTACCATGGCGAGGGACAGCTATTTATAGATAACAACATGTAAGGGACATCACTCAAGATAACAATATAAATATAATACTAATACAGAAGAGTGAGTTCCCTTGACCTCACAATTATTTCAATCTATTACATCCCTTTACCCTTAGAACACAATAACACATCTC